ATGAAGAATGTTGTCAAGAAGGGACAAAAAGAATGTAAGATCACTTACAGTACAAACGAGAGGAGCCTCAGGGACCATCAAACCTGCTCAGCAGTTAGTAGTATTTGATGGATCCACGGATCTCCTGTTGATATTTGTTGAAAGAAGCCAGAATATCGGCTTCAAAAACTCTAACAGGGGACTTGACTGAACAAGAAATTGTGCTTTTCTTCTAAAATGAATAGAATTAAAGTAAAATTTCATTATGGCGTAAGACATTCTAAGTGAACCTTGACAAAGAACGTCATGATCACCAAAGTCTCATGTTGTTGTTTTTTTTGCCCATAGCTATGAACCTTCATGTATATCTAATATAATATCTAATATAATGCATGGCACCTTAGCCAAAGCACATTTCTCCAAGAGTACAGCAGGCTGGGCTCCTGTGGCCACAGAACTAACAGCAAACCTGCTCCCAGATCACCCAGAATATGTCATGGCAAGTCATTTCCAAAAAACAGCCAGCAGTACTCAGCCCCCCAAAAATGTGGCCTGAGCTCAGCTCGGTTAATGTGCTGTAATGCACTGTAAGGACGAGATCAACCTTTATCGGACGTAGCAGGGGAGGCTGCGAAGACAGCCAGGGGGAAATTCATACCATAACGACGGCACAGGCATAACCTGCGTTTTCCGTGAGAAAGTGCCGAGATGGATTCGGCTGCCTTCCACCTTTTCCGTTTCAGAATGTCGAAACATTCTACTTTTTCTGTGGCCCTTCTCTCTGAGCTGATTGATTCATTCTCTTCTGCTTGTTTACTTCTTTAGGCCACAGGGATAGTCCTGTGGAAAATATGTAACGTCTTATAACTGTTTCCATTGTGAAATACCAGGGCTTTGCAGTATTTCACACCTAAGTGAGCGTATGCTGCTTCAGTAGGTGGGGCTTCTTAACTCTTAACCTCACGGACAGCATCCACAGAGAGCCCTCTCAAACAGCTGTCCACATAGCCACACACCCCCTCAATTCCAAAACCAAAACAAGCCAACCGGTGGAAAGTAAAAAACAAGAAACCCCAAAAAAAGCCGGTTTAAGAAAAAAATTACATGCAGTCAGATTTTCTTTATAGAAGTCTTGTATAATAACTGATTATAGAAAACTGATTTTCCAATTGCAATAGTGCAACGTACTGACTATCTAGCACAGGCTAGTGGGGGCACAACATAGGATACATCCTGGACGGGACACCAGTCCATCTCAGGGCAGACACACACACTCACACACACCAGGGCCGGCTGTCCCAGAAGTCAGTTAACCTACAAGTAGGCATTTTTATTGTGGCAGTAAACTCAAGAGCACCCAGAGGAAACCGACACAAACACTGGGAGAACATTCGATCCTCAACTTATCATGTGGATCATTAGTTTTCTGACTTATAGAACATAAAATGTATTTAGTAACGGGCTGGCGTCTGACCCTGTTTGTACTTCTACTGGTTCACCACAAGGCTGCGCTCTTTCTCCCCTCCTCTTAATCTTATATACTGATGACTGCCAGAGCCAGGGTAAATCAATATACCATCACGTTTGCTGAGGACAGTGAATTAGTCTCACTTTTCTAAAAGCCTGAACAAACACTTGGACCATATGAGGACAGACAAAGCGGTCAACTGGTGTGATACTTCTTACCTTGAGAAGAATGTGTCAAAAACAAAAGAAATGATCGTCAATTTAAAAATAACCCCAAAACAATATAGATTCCGCAACAATCCACAGGGAGTCTGATGGTTCACAGTAACAGATTTCTGGACACTGTGATGATAAGTTTAAATTCACCGAGAACACGGATGTCATTGTGAAGAAATTCCAGCAACGCTTTCATGGTCTGAGTTCTTGTGGAGTCCAAAAAAGAATTCTATCCACGTTATAGCTCTTTTATCGGACGTATTTGAACTTTTTCTATTTTCTGTGGGTTTACTTCACTCAAAGAGAGGAAATCTGCTTTTAAAATGTGGAAAACCTCCGCTCTGAACTCACAGGTGAGCCTTTAAGACCCCTGGCACAGCTGCATGGCCAGCAGATCCTGTGAAGACCCAGCTGATGTTCCTCACCAGTCTTTTGAACTCTTGCCTTCAAGAAGATGGTTTTGCTGTCCACAGGGCAAGACAGATAGAAGAATATTTAGCTGTGCTCCAGAGGCCTTCAGGCTCTCCAACAATGAATGCAAAAAATGTTACCAATATGATCTCTATTAGATAGAGCCCATACTAAAGATGTGCATGTACTTTACTAATGAATATTGCACACTGTTACTTCCATAATCATTTTATAGTCTGTTTGCTGTCTTTATGTATATATATTGTCTTGGAAATGTTGTTCTACTTGGAAGGAGTTGTATCTTGCACAACTTGCTGCTTAAATTGCCCCCTTGGGGAAGTATATATATATATTAATTTTTAATTGAATTGGATCCGAACTAAACACAGAAAGCACCCCAGTACTTGAACCCAGGGCCCCGGCGCCACAAGGCAGCCATGCCACCACTGTTCCACTGTGCCACCCCGAATGTATGTCCTTTCAATCAAAAATAAACATACTGTGTGGCGTTTTTGTGTAATTCGAACAGGTAGAAATATAGACATATATAGTACAGCCATACGCCGGGCTCACTACCGGTCAAGGTACTGCTGTGGTTTGAAAATGTACATTAATTTAAATGATTTTCTCCACTGCCAGTTTTGTTTAAATTGAACTACAGGAAAGAAAAATGAAACTTCCTCAACCTAAGTCAGAATTTCCGTGTGTTAACACTGTTTTCGGATGTGACTGTCCGACCCCTTGCTAACAGAGGAATATCACGCAGTAAGAGCTCTTGCAAGCACGCAGCAGGGTCTCTATAACTGGAGCACTTTGGTGTCCATCCTGGCACTTTGTTTCATTTTTTTACCTCCTCACGCCTGGAAGTCTTCAGAGTGGCAAGGTTTAAGAATTGGAGGGGAGGAAAAAAAAACAACTCTTGGGATTATCGCCGATTGAAACGCTGTGGAAAGCAGAGTCCTAAAGCAGCCGAATGTGCTCAGCTTCAAAAAGGGCCTACGTCCCACATAAAAACAGGAGGCTAGCCAGGGATGCCAAGGTGCGAGACCTCCTCTGCTTTGATTACCATGCAGCTGAACCGCAGGAAGTCTGGCTGTAAAGTGAGTCACGCTCCACAGCCCACACTCAAAACCAGGCTCAGCAAAGGGAGGAAAGACCAAACAGCCCCGAGAGTCCTGCACCCCAGAAAACCCAGCCCATTCCTGGCCAGCTCTCTGCAGTCCGCAGTAAAACGTAAAGACAAGTTCACATCAAAGCTCATCGGCTCTCGGTTGAGATTCAGTTGTTTGACTCTCCCCCCTTTCTGAAGGCACCCATGAATGAAGGCAATCATTTTCTGTACATGATTTTAGAGGGCTGTTTCTTCTGGTTTTGAGCACTTGGGGGATTCTGATACAAAAAGGCTCAGTAAGATAACACGAAAAAGATTACAGAGTTCACAAGCAAATGAATCGAACAGTCCAATAAACAATTATTTAAATTATAACACAATTATATACAATGTATTTAGAAACTGCAGCATGGTTTAAGCACTGAAGAACTACAGTACAGTTCTTTATTGTGTTACATATGACGTGTAGCTGGGAGCACATTTGTTTTAAAGTCACATGCAGCAACTTGAAAAATTGAGCTCTAGTAAAAAAAAATAGATAAAAAAAACCCATGAATGCAGATACTCGTTAGATCTTCCGTTTTGTTAGTTTCATATCGGTTTTTCCTGGTGCACCTGCGAGAAGTTGCGCCAAATCGGAGAAACGGACTCGAGGAAAACAAATTCTCGGTTTTCCAGCAAAGCGGAGCGCAGGTTTTTTCTCCGCCTCGGTGTATCCAGGCAGACGCCCTGCTCAGGAGAGGAAAACGGCCCGGGCTAAATTAAATGATCAAAAAGAGTTTTAACGATCGTAAGGTCATTCGTAAAAAAAAATAAAGACGCACCGAGGCGCCCCCCCTCAAAAATCGCATTAAGCTGCGAATCGCTTGCTCAATAATTCTCCCGAGGAGGATGTGGAATTAATATAACAGAGGGCCCCATTAACGCAATTCACTTCACACTTGCTTCTTGTCAGGCACAGGAAAAGGGCGCTTCAGCCGCCGCTACATAATTGGGCCCCAGTAAACACTAGATTTGTCACATGTGTATTTTGTACAACAAAAGATAAGTGATATTCGCAAATACACAACCGAGTTCAAAGGCGGCGCATACTTAAGGAACTAGCTGCAGGGTTGTCGTTCATCCACTTTAAAAGTTAAAATAACGACAACACTTTACCATATAAATGTTTCTAGGATTTTGCACGAAACACACTATTTTCAGCGCCCGAAGAAATCGAAAAATGTTAGCCAAGTCAAAACGGTTTTTCTGTAACACCACTGATCTGGAAAAAAGTGAAACTTTTAAAACTTGTATTGAGATTTAAGTCTGGGAAAAAAAAAACCCGAGAATGTGTCAGAGCAGAGCAAGCAGTTTAAAAGTGAAAAATAAACGAGTATTTTTTATACATTACAATAAGTACATGTGACAATTAAAACACACTTCATTAATATGAATATTAATATGTGCATATATCATATGCACTAATCCTACTTGGAATTGGATATTGTTCAAAATTCAAAATCCAGTTCTGGAGTGTGGGCAACCGTCTTGAGAAAACAGTCTTGGGAATCGCAGAAGAAAATATAGTTTAGTTTCCTTTGCTATCGTGTTAGGAAATCTTTTCAGGGGGGGAAACAAATATCATTTCTTGATATGTCATTTGTTGAGTTCAAGGTGATTTTTTTTGTGTGTGTGGAACTAGTTTGGTAACGCGAGCAACGCCAAGGCCGTCAGCACGAAATGAGAACTAAGCCGGGTGTCGTTCATACGTCTACGTCACAGAGGGGGATACAAGAGGACCCCCGTCGGCGCTCTTTGAGGCTGCTGTCTGAAGAGCCGACAGCCGACACCGGCGGCCAGGGGGCGGGGACAGGACCGGACAGCCACACCCACATTTAGCGCGCACACCTTGATGGGCTTTAAAAATCGTGGCCTTTAAGACCGGCCTGTCAGACTTCGCAGCCAAGAATCTGGAATCAGCCGGGGGGAAAAAAAACAACAAAACAAACCCAAACACTTTGTGTGGTCTTCCAAGGAACTTTGTTCAGGGCTCTCTCGCCTCCCTCGGGAAATTATGACTTCCAGCAGCACAGACCAGCGCCTGGACCATCTCCTGAGCGCCGTGGAGAGCGAGTTTCAGAAGGGCAGCGAGAAAGGGGACGCGTCGGAGACGGATATAAAAGTCGGGTTGGAAGATGTGGATCTCTGGGCGAAGTTCAAGGAGCTGACGAACGAAATGATCGTAACCAAGACGGGAAGGTCGGCCGATTATTTGTTAATTTACCTAATTAACCTAATCGGATGAACCCGCCTGCGGGACTGTAGGTGTTGCGGTTCACCGAGACAAAATACAAGACGCAGAGTGCGTGAATGCATGAAAAGGAAAACGGCGATGCATACATGTCCTCTGTAGAATGAAACTTCTCTGACGTTGGAAAGCTTATTTTTTGTTATCCCATAGCTAACGAGTTAACGTTACAATTTTATAAATATGTGCTCAGACGTTGCACAGATCTAAAATAATTTTGAAATGTATATAAGACAGGTTTGGTAGAGTGTAGTTTCAGATTGATAATAGTTCTCCAAAGAATGCAATATGTATTATTAAATGGGCATAACTTGCCCGAAAGTTTTTAAATACCCATTCAATAGGACCTCATAACTTCATTAATAACGTACAAGTCTCTCATTGAAGTACCCGTGCAAAGGTCTAATGTCACAAGTTATGAATGCGAGGAGCGTCGGGGCACTTCAAGATTAACAAGATAGTTGTTAATTCACATTCTACCTTGTAAAAGACGACTAAAATACGGGCCTTCGTTTCCTGGAAAAACAGATCCAATTGAAATGTCTCTCAAGCCGTCTGCCGTGGGTTTCACGGTCATGTTAATAAGTGTTAAGTGTTTCTACTGTCCCATGGAAACTAATTGCGTATAGGCTTTCCAACTGAAGTTTTAATCAATACAGTTAAAACGGTCTTAGAGGGTTCCGTGTATTTTTCATAGCTACAGCTGCGGTCCTAAAGTCCAGTTCTGTTCGTGTTTCAGGAGGATGTTCCCGGTGCTCCGAGTCAACGTGGCGGGACTGGATCCCAACGCGATGTACTCCGTGCTGCTGGACTTTGTGGCGGCCGACAACAACCGGTGGAAGTACGTTAACGGGGAGTGGGTGCCCGGGGGCAAACCGGAGCCCCAGAGTCCCAGCTGCGTCTACATTCACCCGGACTCGCCCAATTTCGGGGCCCACTGGATGAAAGCGCCGGTATCCTTCAGCAAGGTGAAGCTGTCCAATAAACTCAACGGCGGGGGACAGGTAAGACGCTCGGTTGAACCTTGTGCTTGTGGCGCGAAATGCGTTTTAAAACCGTTTCTTTGCGATTCTCCGTAATGGGGTGACGTTACTGCCCGTGTCGCTAATCAATCGGTTTTGCTCACGATGCCCTTTGCCGTTACTCGCTACCTAAACGTTATGCGTTTACAAATAAGCAGAGGGCACCAACAGTAAAGACCTATGTAGTTTCTATAGGTGGCAATAGATAAAGGATTCAGATCAGTGCATGTTTTTTTTTTTTAAATCTTGACCGTTAAAGTGGATGTCGTGCGATAAAATGTTTTCCCCCACTCGATGGCACCATTTAAAAGTTGAAAGACGGGGTCAGTTCAAAGAGTTCTCTCTGTATCGCCACAGATCATGCTGAACTCGCTCCACAAATACGAGCCCCGGATTCACATCGTGAAGGTCGGAGGGGTTCAGAAGATGATCAGCAGCCAGTCGTTCCCGGAGACGCAGTTCATCGCCGTGACCGCGTACCAGAACGAGGAGGTAAACCGCGTACAGCTCTCCTTTTTTTTTAAAGAAATGCTGATTTAACGAGATCAAATCAATCCCGACAAAACTCTCAATTGCACTTTGGCTCGACAAAAACCGATTTATACGGCAGCTAGCCGGGTAACTCCAGACCAAGGATCATGTCATTTCTAAACGGCTCTTCTCGTTTTCATTTGATAAAGACTTGAGGAACCACTTGAAAGGTCCCCCTGTTCGATTTCCATATCGTTAACTGTAGGGCCTCGGTATGGCTTACTGTGATTTCGCTTTGGTCTGCTAATTTTTACCATCTCGTTTTGATGTCGTGGGTCGCCTCGTTTCTCTGCTGAATTTTGGCAAGGAGCACCATTAAATGCCATTGACAGCCTACGGGGCTGGAGGGCATTTGGCTTCAGAGGAATTCAAAGCCAACTGCGAGTGTTCACTGTAAAAACGAATTCTCTCTTTCTCCCCCCCTAGATCACTGCACTCAAGATAAAACACAACCCATTTGCCAAAGCATTTCTTGATGCAAAGGAGAGGTAAGTAAATATAGGCATGATCCACCAATATAAATAAAGTACAATCTCCATCTTGTCTATATATAAATACTTCTTGAGCAGTGCATCACTGTTTTAAACATCAGGCTTTCCTGTGCATACATAGTTCTGTGACATGTTTTCCAAAAGTCCGGTGTTATTTATTGTTGAACTAGGACATTTCTGATTTTGCTGGCCTTGAATAAGTAATGATGAAAAAAATAGTTAAACTAAACTGTCAATGAGCCACAGGGGCCAAAAAAGTTCCTCATTTGTAACCTTTATGTTCTCTTATGCTTAAAAATAAGACGACTAGGGCTCTTTCCCAGCTTCTGATTTTGTTCTGTCCGATGCTCAACAGGAGTGACCACAAGGACCTGCCAGACCCTTCAGGAGAAACCCAGCAACCTGGTTACTCGCAAAGTAAGAAATCAAAAATCTCTCTCCGTCGGCAGTTAGGTTGTCGTTTCACTACACCCAACTTGACTCGCTGCTTTTTAGTAATGCTTTACAATTTAAACCTCAACCTTTACAATATTATACTCCGTGCAAGTTATGTGTATTGATATAGCCTCAAAATAAGAGCTGACTTAATGTAACTGCCTCTGCGATTGGAGCACGCTGCATTACTGCTGAAGATCTGCACAAGAAATACTGTGAGGACACCAAATATCAGCATCCAGGCTGTGTGTGCTGTCAGCCTCATTCTTGGTCTCTTCCCGACAGTTGGTGGATGGTTTCTGCCCGGCAACGGCTCCATCTGCCCCAGTACCAGCCCCCCTCAGTTCACCGGAAACCCTGGCCTCTCCTCGGGCTCGTACTGCGAGAGATACTCGGGGCTGAGGGCACACAGGGCTGCCCCCTACCCCAGCCCCTACCCACACCGCAACGCCAGCACAAGTAAGAACTTTTTTTTTCTTTAATCCCCGGGGAGGGAGAGCAGTGCAGCAGGAGACGATTTTCGCCTTGACGCAGGCTGGGCTGTAAGTGGTTTCAATGTAGGATTCCACTCCGCTTCTCCCGCTGGTGTCGGTGAAACGCCTTTAGAGGCCTCCTGGGTACATACCGAAACGCCACCTCTCTGTGGAATGGAGGAGTCTGTATCTCTTGGGGCCTCTTCTTTTGAGCTCCCCCTTGTGCCTTCCTCTTGGCAATACAATAAAGTCCCCCGCTGCTCTTAAAGTCGCTGAGCTGCTCTCTCTGGAGATGTGGCTGCCAGCTCGGCTCCATTCCTTAACAACCTCAATCCCGCCGAAAGCTGCAGGTATATTTAAATGAATGTGGAACAGCCCGTGAAGAGCTCCCCTCTGTAATCGGGGACTCGGATCAGATAACAGAAGGAATGGCTACCACTGAGCTGGAGCCAGGACATCTCCATACTTGATAGAAGCAGATTACTCCCAGCAGGGGGCTCTGAAAAGCTTCGGCTGCTAGTATAATGTTAATGAAGCAGATGGATGATCACTTCACTCATGTCGAAGCTGAAACCTTCTGTTACCTGGGTTTGAAAGACCCCAAATCCTGCAGGCTTCATAAGTACTCATTGAAGACTGAGGTAGAGACCTTGAGGGGGACGTGTCGCTCTGAGCTCATTGAGCAGTGGGCGCCTGTCCTGCAGAGCTCCTGTTGCTGTTGGACCTTAGACGTAGCTAATCCAGAGGTCTACAGTCCTGGTTCTGCAGAGCGGTGGTGTAGTTAGACTTTCACCTGGTTCTTCAAATTGTCAACACCTGTGTGTTATTGATGAATTAAGCCCCTCTGTTCAATTAAGAGTTCTGGAACTTCAGAATTCAAAAGTACCTGATTTTGGTTACAAATTACAAATCAATCAATGGAAAGTGTTCCAAATCTTTCTAAATTTAAAGGTGACGCAAGTAACCTGCAGCACTGGGTAGGATGATATTTTCAGTGTATTTTCCCCCCCCTTTCTTACATAGGAGATAATCTTCTCCTTATCCTTTCAGACACGTACATGGATACCTCCTCCCCCAGCCTGCCTGCTCACGACAGCTGGACCTCCCTGCAGATCCCCAACTCCAATGGGATGCCCTCTCTCTCGCATACCACCAACACGGTCTCTAACCCAAGGTAGGAACTACCTCTTTAACCCTTTCACCTAGGCTGCCATGCTCCACAGAACCATCCCCAGGAAAACCTGACTGCATATGCCTTGTTCCTTGAAGTCCTTAGAAAAAGCATAATGAATTCAGAGACTAATCCACAGGCTCCTGGTAATCAAGCAACCCAAGACCATGTGAGCAGAGGGAAACAAATTTGTGAATTACTGGCACAAAACTTCTAAAATGCCATCCTAAAAATCAATGTAACTCAATCCTTTGAGATCTCAGTCCGTTCTAATTGGAAAGCTTAATACCTAGACCTGCTCATATGTTATAAAACTTTTGTCAAGGGACAAACCAAAGTCACAGCACAAAGCACGTCACTGTGGCATGTCTGACCCCTTAGGATCACGCCACAAGTGAACTAATCACAGCTCTTAGAGGTGGACACTGCACTTCAGTGGTCCTATATATTTAAAGCAGTTTGGGATCCTTTGGGACTCAAGTGATGTATAAAGGAATTATTTTTGATCGCTCTCAATGTGTACTGTTGTACATCTTTAATTGTTTAGTTCTATAACTCACAATGAAACCACACCGTTGCTGTTCTAAATAATATTGGTTTTGTTTCAAAAGCTGAGAATCTAACTACCTTTTGCTAGGTCTGAGACTTGTGTAAATCACTAATTTGACTTGAAACAAAATCTTCATGAATAGCTTTAAAACGACTCTGTATGCAAGGTCTGCTCAAATGTTTTTCACAGAAATTATGGGGGGAGCTACATTTCAGATATGTATAGCAGCCACATGAAAAGTATTATAAAAAGGCACTGTCCTAATCCAGACATGGAAAATTCCAGCAAGACCATGCAAACTGTATTGTGCCGTGGTGCCATTAAGTGATTTCGTATCATGCACATTGCATTCATTACCATTGCCTTTCTGAACTTTGTCCACTCCCTCTCTTTCCCTGCTGCAGCCAGTACCCGAACCTGTGGTCAGTTGCTGGCACGCCCCTGAACCCTGGGTCTCCGTCGGGGTCAATCACGGGCGGCCTGACGTCCCAGTTCCTCCGCAGCTCCTCCGTCTCCTATTCGGGGCTGACCTCCTCTATCCCAGCATCCTCGGCCTCCCCCATGTATGACAACAGCCTGGGCGAAGTGGGCAGCGGCGAGGCCCAGTTTGAGAGCTCCATCGCCAGACTGGCGGCCTCCTGGGCGCCAGTGGCCCAGACCTACTGAGCGCCACCAGCTGGACAAGCAGACCGTTTTGACCCCTGCCACAAGGAAAGAGAGAGGACCACACCAGGTTTTGGAGCACATAATGGGTTCAGCACAGGAGGACCCCTGAGGAACTTCAGTATCGACCTTCTACCTCGGTGAAATCTCTTCGTGCAACTGTGGGACAGACGCAGGCTCTTCCTTCCAAAGTAACAATCAGACAGTGAAGGCCCACTGCCAGGCGCTTCCCAATCGGTCTGATGTGAAGGCCAGTTGACTCTGATGCTGCATGAAGCCAGATCAGATCCTGTACAAATGTTTTTGATACATTTCCTATGGAATTCTGTCACCGGGTTGAACTCGAATGCAGTGACATAATGGGATGAACATAGTTTTGCAGAATTGAGGTATCGGTTTAGCCCTGCAGTTTGTAAATGTGTTCATACCATCTTATTTAAAAAGGGGTTCTAGATGAGGGGAAGCAAAAAAAAAAACAGGATGTAGTCTTGAGAATAACGCTAGGTTTTGTTATTCACTGCGACATCCATCTTAGTCTTAAATCCGGCATCACCACGAAAACAATGAGGTATATCACGGGTGTCAACAAACACTACCTTCATTGATAATAGTGTGGGTCAATCTTAAAAAGTTATATAAAACATCAAAAGTAAAAAATATGAATGATCAGTTTTGTTATTCAAACTATTTTTAATATAAACGTGCAGCTGATCTACAGATATAAAGAATGCCTTAATTATGACTCCTCTCTATAACACCTTTGTACAAGCTCCTCAAGAAAAGGAAAGCCTTTTCCATGCACAATTCCTTTGGTTTTAAAAAGACTTGGGGATGGGGGACACTTGTTTCAGCCTGCTGGGAGGGAAGTCATTCTTGTCATGTCAAATGTCCATTTAAATATGTCTGTCAGCCCTTCCTTCCACCTGTGCCTTTGTGAGATGTCCTCATAACATACTGTATATATTTTGTTTATTTGTACGTGCTGAACATGGTGATCTTTATTTATGTAATTTTAAAAGTAAATTAATTTGCTTGTTTTCAAGAACATCCTAGTTGCAAGCAGTATGTAGTTTTTAATCTTGCACACTCTTGCCTGAATATATCCATTCACACAAACCTCCTCGTGCCACTTTCTTTAGTAAAGAAGACCGCAGTGGTCTAGGGTGATTATACCAGGACACCAAGTCCACAACTGGTCTAGCCAGAGGCCCAGCAGCTTGTCATGCAGTGTAGCTGTAGAGTGTCCTATTTAATAATAATTTCTTACACTTATGTAGCGCTTTTTCTGGACACTCCACTCAAAGCGCTTTACAGGTAATGGGGACTCCCCTCCACCACCACCAATGTGCAGCCCCACCTGGATGATGCGACGGCAGCCATAGTGCGCCAGAACGCTCACATCAGCTATCAGTGGGGAGGAGAACAGAGTACTGTAGCCAATTTATAGATGGGGATTATTAGCAGGCCTTGACTGGTAAAAGGAATTTGGCCAGGACACCAGGGATAATGCCCTACTCTTTAGGGGAAACGCCCTGGGATTTTTAATGACCACAGAGTCAGAATCTCAGTTTTCCATCTCATCTAAAGGATGGCACCTTTTGGTGGTATAGTGTCCCCATAACTATACCGGGGCATTAGGACCCACACAGACTGCAGCGTGAGCGCCCCCTACTGGTCCCACTCACTTCTCTCCCAGCAGCAACCTTAGCTTTTCCAGGAGTCTTCCATCCAGGTACTGGCCAGGCTCACACCTGCTGACCTTTAGTGGGTTGCTAGATTTGAATTGCAGAGTTTTGTATCTGCTAGCCTTTTACACTTTTACACTACACTTTTCTCCCTACCTCATCACAATGTTCTCCTCCACCTTTTACATTTGCAGCCAATCACAAATTAAGTTCTGCCTTTCACCTGCAAACCTCATGCTGAATTCTGACTTTAAAAAAAGATGAGAAATACAAAAGAACTACCTACCATACTACTTCAGCAATAATCCCCAAAGAAGCAAAATCCTTCACTCAACATCGGTTACAGGACTTACGAAAATAATTTAGAGATCGAGTCCTATGTAGAAATGAACATTCTCACTCCGCTCTGAGGCCACATCAGACAGATGGCATCAAGCCTAAGTACTCCTGTGACTGGTAGTGTGGATCCGCCCCAGGATGAGAGAGGAAAAAGTCAAGCACCAGCAGAAACTGTCTGGGACAGGTGAACACGGGCTAGCATAAAACACAGCTGAGGGAAACAATCCAAACTACCTGTTGCCACCTTCTTTAACTTTTCACTATGACTTTTTGGTGTAGGAGCATTCTCCTGTCTTGAATGGGACAAGGGAGCAGCTTCTCACATTCAGACTCTTTAATTTTTCCCAGCTACATGGAATTCTCCCCCATGCTTTTCTTCCAGAGGAGAAGTCCTGTGAATGAATCACTCCGTGCCTGTCTTGAAATGTAAAAACAGTCCAATATACAGATCATTACAGATACTAGTTTTGAAATAGAAAATGCTCAATGTTTCACCTCCCACAACAATCTACTATACAGACAGCAGTATTGACTTCAGCATAAATATCCTGCTAAAATGGAGACTAAGCAGAGGTATATTGTAAAATCTTTAATGCATAATATCATTTGGTTTACTGAAAAAAAACCCAAACAAAAGTAATATCATCTGACATCTTCAGGATGGAACTTTAATCAGTAGGGATTGTTAATTTAAATTTGTTGAGCAAACTGCAATTCCTACAGCCCTTGCGGAAATACATTTGCTAAAAAAATAAATACATTTTTTTCCTCTACTGTTGAGTCACTTCACAGATTTTTAAAACACTATTGTACATCTATGAAAGCACATTTTAAATGGTGGGATTGTTGTCTTTGCTACCTCTAAATTAATCACTTGGATTCTTTGCTGAAGATTACATTAATATGCAATTGAGCGAGGGTTTGACTTGGTCTCCTATGTTCAATAACACAGTATACAAATGCATGAGATGTAAAATCAATCATATAGGCTTCTAAAAGGTTTATATGATGCACTTGATGTGCTGTTACTTGATTATGGCCCAGATCATAATTAAGCCATTTCAATCCACTGTGCTAAGGTCACAATTGTTTCCTTGCAAACTTTCAATATTGTCATTAAACAATGTCAACAACACTGTTTCTTTTTTACACGCTCTAAAAGGTCCAGTTTAATAATTGGCAAAATCCAGGGGTCTTTTACAAAGCCAGCAACACCCACAAAGACCCAGGAACGCAAGTGGCAATTTATTTTGTTATTCAAAAGATAAGGAATTGAAGGAATCTGAAACTGACCCCCTGAACCATGCTGTTGAACCCACAGCCCTGGGGTTCTTAAAAAACATCTTCAGGGAATTCTTGGATCATGAAGCTACCAGCCAACTAAATAACCAACACGGACCAAATCACCTTCTCCTCTTTGTAACATTCCACATGCTCTTCACAAGCTTTGAATCTGGCTTTTTTTATCCTGAAAGCCCTCCTATCGTATCTGTGCTACCCGCCCATTAAAGTATTCAATCAGTGACGGTAATAACTCAGAGTGAGGTTGTGCTGGTGAGGGCAACACCGCTATCCTGGGATGAGTCAGTGAAGTGACAGCCCTCAGCATGATTAAGTATCCCACACGGGGACTCAAATGAACACTGGAGAGGTACAACTGCTGCCCTGGCACTGATGAGAGAGCAATCTTGCAGCCTGTTGTCATACTTACAGTACATTAACTTGGACGGTAACTGTATGAGCAATGCTCTACAGAGAACCCCGGAGACAGTCCTAAAATATTTCCATCGCAAGGGTGATTTATATCACTATATTCCAGTATTCAACAATCATGTTAAACAGCTCTCATGTCCACTTCTACACAAACAGCAACCAAACACAACACAACATTTTGTCATGAATGCTTTACAGATAACAAAGCTGACCGATAACTGCTACCATTTGTGAGAAATAGTCAGAAAATGAAATATTAATCAGTATGATTATTAAAGTCTGTATTTCCAATTGCCAGGATTAATGCACACTTTTATTGATTTCTTAACTTGTAGAAGTGTGTACAAATACACATGGGCGCCCAGAAAACGTAAAAATTGGATTATTTCAATTAAAACATAATTTGCTTAAGTACATCACGGCTCAGCTCTATCAAAAAAGAAAACAACGAGCCACGAGGAGTCAATGGGAAACAGAATTCTGCATGTGGACAAAGCAAAAGAGTACGTGCACATAGACACTGACATAGCAGAAGAAAAGAAAAATGTGATTTTGCAGTACTTTGATTTTCAAGTCTGAGAACAAAACTGGTTTATTGGTCTCATACAGCTCTATTACAATAACTGCAAACCTTTTTAGTATCTGTCAGCTGTAAGAGTCTAAAGGTATTACAGTGCACTAGAAACACAAAGTTCTCTATGGACTTCATGTACTCCATTCCCTGTGGAGTCACAGACTAGGAATCGGTACAGCTTTCGTATTCTATGGTTTTTTGCTTCCTAAAAATGAATATTTAAGCTTGCATTACATTACTAATGATTCTCCCTCCCAAACGGTTAACCTTTTTAAAACAGAATGTCAATTAAGCTTGTGCACACACATATCCTTTTAAGACCCTTCTCAAATGCAGTGTTTAAGCTTCAAGCCAGGAAGGACACTGAGATTCATTAACACATGGCATCATTTAGAGCAGCAAACAACAGCACACTGGGCTTCTGTCTGCAGAGCTGTCCAAACAGAACCTGAACGCACACTTGCAGAAGCTGGGTTTTGCTAGACCTGCTGTCAGTGTTTGTCCTCGTTAATTGAGCTTCGAGATTTGAGTTTACGGATGAGCTTCACTCCAGGAAGGGGGCAAATCAAGGTCTTTTTAAAGATGGTACTATAGAGTCAGAAGGCAGGCATGGTTTCCTTATACCCCACTTCCCTGTGGGGTAAAACAGAATGGATCCCTCGGCGATGAAAAATAAACTAGTGGACTCTTAGTTTAGACCCTTGTTGAAGATTTTTTTTTGTTTTCCAAGAAGACTTTGAGAACCCAGCTCTATAAAGCGATCCTCAGCAAATACTGGGCACATGCCTGCAATCCTTCAATGCACCGTTATTTATTGGAGAGCCGAGGTATAAACAAGTTAATGTATCTCACACCGCTCCAGCACATTCGCAACGTGTTTGCCAAGCGCACAGCAGCCCCCAGCCGGCCCTGTGATCTCTGTATGGCATCGCTAATGAAGAAAATTTTCAGACCCCAGTGAGACATTGCTCTCAGCTGAGCACACTGGCCACCCACCCTCCAGGCCTGGTACATGGGCCCTCTGGGTCTCACCGTCCACCGGCTTCCAAAAAACACAAGACAATGTCAACTCACCACATCTCTATAGTAATATAGTCCTATACATCTTTAACTGCAGCTGATGAACTCAGAGAAATTCTTAAGGAGGAATATGGGGTCTTTTGGATGTATAGATCTAAATGCACTGCATTAGTTAACACATTCTTAGGACTGGAATTTAGACAACTGCTGGGTAATATTGTGAATTCACCATATCCTCTAAAATATGCATAAACTCCTCTGCATTTACATAGGATACTGTAGCGGAAAAAACACGAAGCTTGTCAGCACATATCTTGCTACGGTGAATTGTTGCTAGAACAAAACACAGCACCAGCTATCATAGAGTTTACTGACTGCAGTGGCATTAAAACCACAAACCTTGTTACATTACATGTCTTGAACAGCTACAGAGGGGCAAAGTGTTATGAAAGGAAGGCACCTCTACATTTTCACCATTACAAAAGGAGCATTAGTCCAGGTAACAATTTGTACACACTGGTTAACACTTGCTCGATACTGTCACCCACAAAGCAATGCGAAGTTTTTCAAGCAATGTCAAGCACATTATAAAAGAAATGTATAGGCGATTGTTACATTCTGCCCAAAACAAGGCTAAATACAACAAGCTGCATGACGACCTGAATGAACATATCTGATTGAAATTGATTTCTCCTGTTAGCTAATTATGACAGATTGTGTCGAGCAAATTCTTCAGTCTGATACATTAAAACTGCACGTCAGCTATGCTGTTTCTCTGGAAAGTTGCTCTTCTGCTAGCTTGTGACTGAAGGATAAAATGTTCTGTGGCCATTTGTTTTCTGAAACATTTCTTGCTGGAAATCATCAGTCAACAACATACGTCGGAGTTAACCCCGGCAGGATCTGTCCTTGAACCCAACTCTGAAAAACTGTTGCTTATATTAACAGGAAGACATTGTGCACCTGTCGCAGACGAATCCTAATCTTGGAATGGCATTCTGCCAAAAGATGGAAGCAAGCAAACAGTGTTGGTGCCAATCAATTTCATTAAGATGCTTAATTATTCCACTGTTTTCTTAATATTAATTATTTCGTTACTAAGTTAAAATGTAGTTGAGACCACAATCAGGTTAACTAATGGCCATTCTGCTGCCAGCTTCATTACTGTATATGGGATAATAAAGGTCTTCTGAGAGCACCACACAGTGAGTTCAGGGAAAACCATGGCTTCTGCACCACTTGGCCTCCTGTGTATATTTCAAATCAATGGCAGTTCTAAGCCCAACATTAAATGCTCAGTCAGTCTACGCAACAACTGAATTTGTAGTAGAAATGTTTAATCAAACTGACCAAAATCCAGAGGCTGTGAACTGCTGCTTGGCCAGTTGATGGCGAAGAAAATTGCCATTTGCTTCTACTGCATACATGGTATTTAACGCCACCTGGTGCTTTTTTATAGGAATGAAAAAGCTAGAGACTAAAAGACTTTAAACCCAGGAAGGATAGCAAGGCTGCAATCGATGAAGGTTTGGTGTATTTTGTAAGAACTAAGAGAAGATTACAACTCTGCGTCCAACATTTTATTAACCTCTAAATTAACCACTGAACGTTCAACTTTGATGATTACAGAAACTTTTAATAAGCGGACATAAATAATACCTTTGCAGCACTTACAATTTGCTCTGCATCAGAGAAATATTTTTTACTATCTAAACTTTGCAGTCATGAAGGAGATCAACAGGACCCAGCAGTACAAATCTTCCTCCTAATTGGAACATCTCGTTACCTAAGAAATTTTGAGGAAGGACAACACAAGTGCCCTTAGGTAGAGAAGGCCATTTAGACTTAATCGTGGAAAGTCATAGTGAACCCTGAGCACAGATCAAACACACACACAACACAAAAAGGAGACGAGAAGAACAAAAAAAAAGCCAAAAAGCTCCCACAGCACACAAAAAAAAACACAAAAACAAAAAATATATATAAAAAAAAAAAACACAAGAAAAATGAAAAAAAAAAAAAAACCTGGCAAAGTCCTAAGTAAAATCCTGCAGCTGCCTTATTCTGTTCAAAGTTCCACATGGCTGAGAGCTGAAACATTGCTTCAGTTCTTGTGCTCTTGTTCGCTCATGATGTCAACTCACCCCTGTAAGCCACCAGGACTAACTGTAGAATTGAAGTCCAGGTGCTAATTCAAGGTTACAGGCATTAGGCGTTGCTGTATCCGAAGCTGGTCTCCCTGGGCTATCACAAATCCCTCCTGTCCTGTGTGAATGTGGCCAGGCTGTACTGACACATGGGCAGCATGCCACGATCTCACCACCATATTTATATCACACGTGCAGAATGGTCTGCCCTACCCCTGTGCTATAGGTCTATAGTGTTGAACAGGGGGCATAACAAAACAAACCGTGCTGAAAAAGCGCAGTCATGTTACTAATCATTCATCTGGAACTATCTCAGCAGCTGTGCACTGAACATGGTATCTACACATGGATGCTGGCAGGGTAGGGCTGTAACTGGGCAGGATAGCTCCAGCTGGGGTGTGACTGTGGGCGACCTGAGGAAGGACAGCTGCAGACGCCAGGGCGGATCAGGTGTGAGAGTGGGTGTCCAGCTGCCAGCTACAAGTCCATCACCTCTGCCTCCACAGTTTTGCTGCCAGGCTGCACGTACTTCTCCTGCACAGCCAGGCTCCTGAGACTGGGGTTAAAGAAACATAGACAACAGACGGCAACAGAGCATGAAACACCACAAAAAGACCACACTCATACCCTCCATACTTCACTTCACTCATGGGCTTTGAATAAGGAAAGCATCAACAGGATTTGCACAGACCGATACTACACCTCTGCTGTGTAAATTGCCTTTTGCCTTAATAATTTGTCAGAGTTTTCATTTTGTACCCCCTCAGCTGAGAATACCCAGCTCTTGCTTTCAACACCTTCTATGCTGCACAGGGAGTTGAGGAAGGATGGACAGGCTCTTCCATCTTGCCCGCCGATCAAAGCTTTCCCTCCCCGGCACACTGCAAGCTCCACAGCGCCCGACAGGAGAGTGAGCGCCACCCGCAGGAGCAGCAGATCTCTCGGCGACGTCTCTGCAAGCCTGCTCTGCCCCGGACTGATTAATCTCAACCTCATTCCCCGCGCCGCTCTGCCAACAGTGTGCTGCTGCTGGGAAAGCCCAGACTCAAGCCAAAGGCGAACCGGCCGCCAACCTGCAGCGTCCAGCCGACGCGATCCTAAATCACGCAAACAAAAGAGACGCTAATCTACCCTGAAGCGACTCGGCGAATGAGAAAGGAACTGAAAGAGTGTGACAGACAAGGATACGAATTGAAGTGAAAATCAGCCCCCACAGCTGCAGACATCATAGCTGTCAGGCTCCTCTGCTCCAGATCTCCAAAGCAGTAGCCATTGGCCTTGTCCACCTGCCGAATCACCTGCACCATGCTCTCCTTGTCCTGGGGAGAGTAGAGACAGGACATTCAACAAGCTTCGTATCACGTATACCTACTTACTAAGAATTAGTAGCCACTACAAAAGATCTGAGCGTAGCAATATCCTTTGTTGCCAGCTCTACCTTCTGGACTCAACAAAAAAACGAGTTATGTCACACACTCTGTTCCAGCCATGCACAATGACTCATGGAATGAACTTAGTAACATTGTGGTCAAACCACCTGGCTGCAAGCCGAGGGGTGGGCACTGGTGGTCTTTCAAACTCAGCTTTTTATTTTTTTTTTAATCACCAAGACACAGAGGAACACACTTGCTGATCTAGTACTCTGTAACATAAAAGAACCAACAAGAAATAAAACAGTAAGAGCTTCTCAAGTGAGTCCACAGTATCCACAGATTGGCCAGAGCTTTCCATGTCCAATTAAAAGAAAGCCCATCCTGCTATGGGAAGGAGCGCCTACCTGAATGTTCAAAGGCACAAAGGAGACCAGGCTGTAGTCCTCGATGACCTCCACCAGCTTCTCATTCAGGCGCTTGAATTTTTTGAAAAAAGGATCCTCAGCCAGATGCCCCAGTAAATATGACAAGTCCAAAACCTCAGTGTAATAGTCCAGATTAAACGCTGTTGCAAAGAGACAAAGATCTCGAATGAACACTCTTCCCATATGAACAATTATAATTATCCTACACCTCATCATCAGTGGGCAGCCAGGCCAAAAATCCTGAAAGTCCCAGGGAGAGTTAGGGATTCTTCCCGACAAAACAGGGCTTCAGAGAATGCTGAGGTGCATCAGCAATGGCAGAGAGCTGTCACAATCACACTGGCTCATCTATCACACACACACAGATTGGAATCGAACACAAGGGATTGATCTCTGACTCCGTCATTACACACAGGTAAATGGTTTACTCCCACCCTACACAAACAGTAATAGCGGCACTGCGACAAAATGGAATTCATTTGGGAAATCAGGTTTTCCTGCGACACAGTGAAAGTTCTATGACCAAAAGGTGCAGATGCAACTATTTCTTAATTTCTCGAAGAGGATAAAAGTGCTCCTTGTGTCTTACCCAGTTTCCCAAACTGCTCGACGAGATCCATTTTGGAGAGGACATTGACATGGGGCAACTCCACATGCAGCATGGTGGACAGCGAGGTGCACAGCACGGAGATGAACTTGGCAGGGTCAGCACAGTAATGGGAGTCTACCAGGTGCACAGCGGTCAGCTGCAAGAGAGACAAAGAGCAACCCTATTACACAAACCATGCAGTCCAAACTCCCAGCCGTATAAACAGAATAAAACCTAGAGAAAGGAGACCTGGTCCTACAGTACTAATGCCTCTCACTTTTCACAATAAACTATCCCTGTAAAAGAAATACACACATCCAGAATGGTAACATGCATCTATGCTCAATGTATAGGGATCTTAAATCGAATGAGACCCGTAGGACGTTAGTGAAGATGTACGTTTACAAGAAAAGTAGTCATTAGCTCTTAAAAGGACTGCAGATAACCTTGCACCAGATTTCAGTTCACTTTAGAAGACCACATTGGAGCAAACTCTTTCAGAATTAGCTGACAAAGCTTTTCTCTGAACTAGAAAATCAAAATCCGTCCTTGACAAAAGCTACACCACCCAGTTTACGATAGTCAGAGCCCCTTCAGCTTTTGTAACCTGCATGCTTTTGCCCTTAAAATAACTTCAGATGCTGGAAATCCCCCCCATGGTAGGAAATATGCGGGGATAGAGACATGTATAATAATATGAGCAATATGGAGATGTATTTGACCCCCCCTTTTCAATAATCTTGATCAGTGGTAGCACCCCGGGACACTTGAAAAGAAATCGACCTGCAGGGGAATGTTTATCTCAATTCCCCCTTTCGTGATCCACCGGCCACGAGCGAGCGACCGTCAAGGACAAACGGCAAGCGGGCGGAGACGAACCCTGAAGCTCCACTGGGCCAGCCGGGCGAAGATGTTCTTGACCGAGCTCTGGTGGGTGTACAGCTCCACCTGACCCGGGCAGTCGAACAGGAAGTAGCAGTCCCGGTGCTTCGCCACCTTCTCCTCCAGCCAGTCCAGGTTGGCCTCCAGGTACTCCATGCAGTAAACGAGGCCGCCGTTGGGCCCCAGCTTGAGGCCCTCCATCACGTCATCCAGAGTGATCAGCTCGGCGATGTCCACGGCGCAGGGGTAGGGCAGGCCCTCGTTAGCGGGGTCCAGGTTGACCACCACCACCTTGCGCCCCAGCTGGGTGAGGAACTCCTGCATGCCCTGGCAGTAAGTGGTCTTCCCTGAGCCAGGGGGCCCAATCACCACCTGGCCAAAACGCAGGGAGGGCACTTTGGTCTGGGCGGCCATGACAGGTCACTGATTCACCGATTCATATCACAGCTGCGTCAGGACCAAGGCACGACGGGCTCTGTGAACAGAGATCAGGGGAACTGATAAGGAAAACCATATTCTTCCTGATTGCACTATTCAATAATAACGCAGGAGGAACACAGAGAGAGAGACACTTGGGAAATTTGGTCTTTTTTGTTTCACAGGAAAACATCAGAAGCTGTAAAAGACATCTCTACACACACAAAGACCTAAGTGTAAAACAAAGTATAAAGCAAATGCACTGTGCACGTACTTTTAAAATAAAAGAAATAGTCCAATTTAAAATAAGCTGGAAGTGCACATTAATCAGACGAGTATTTCATTTTCAGGCAGAGTAGTGCATCTTAATAATAGTCCATAGAATCTGCGTTTTCACGCGAGCAATACGACAGAGACGCTCAAAACCTGATCGCTCCCAAGTTTTTGGCCACTGAAAGCTTCTAACCTACGTTTCTACAAACATGTCATACTATGACCACCGCATACGGAAATTAACGTCCTATGAACGTGAACAATAAACATAAATATAGCGGTAGTTTCATATTTACCAAAAAACGTCGTTAAAGTCCCTCCAACAAATTAGTAAAACACAGCTCGGCTGATAGTGACTTTTAATATATCACGTCTCCCGTGTTTGATGTAGAGAACGTTTTCGTCATGTTTAGCTACGATTTCTAGAATTCATTACAGGTATAACACCAGAAAACATTACTAGAAAGTAGTAACTCGCACTCAGGCATTCCTTTGTTAAAAATAACTCCCAATTGTCCAATATATTGCTTCTTATTACTTAGATTGAAAAATCCTTTACTTCCACCTACCTGCTCAGCTCTTGGTTTCAAACACTGCACACCAAATCCGAAAACGGAAATTAGTGCACGCTTCATATTCGTCCTGAACGGAAACACAGAATATAAATATTTGGTTCCCAGGCATCTAAATTTAACAAACGCCAAAAATTATTTAAGGGATATACTTATACAAATTTCTTATCAGTCCGTTTAAAGTAACCGTCTGATGATCTGATTTATCTGTCAATTTTTCATCTCCAATAAAATGTTCAGAAACAGTGCTGCTGTTTTCCTCATTGTAAGATTAAGATCATAAACAAAGATTATACACAACACAAAAAGATTTTGTAATAAAATATTTATTACAAACATTTTACATGCCAAAATTCCCAGCTTATTAAAAAGTTAAACATACAAAGGACACTGTAACATACAGTAAATTCAAGAAACACTGTAAATGTTTTACAGTCTGTTACTATAAAATCCCATTACATATGATCAGGATATAATATTAATAACAACAATAATAATGAAGGAAATAATCCTGCAAAATGTGACAGCTTTTCATCTGTCAGAATCTGCAGCTGAAACTCATGACAGCTATGTAGTGAAAAGTTAAAAATATCCTGAACACATTTCCTGAGAAGTCCATGATTAAACCATGGAATGTTAAAGACGAAATAAGACTAATAAATATAATACAAAAGTCCAAAGGAGATCCAACATTTAGCGCTCGAATTGTTTCCCAGGAGCTATCTGTGCGTCTCACTGCTGCCCCCTGGCTGCCACTGTCTGTACTTCAAGCTGGTGGTGGGCTGCCGACGCAGTAGGCTGTCACCGCAGTCCATGTCTTTGGGCTGGTCATAGACGGTGGATATGAGGAAAGTCGGCCGTGGCTTCTTCACGGGTGGAAAAGTGCTGATCTTCTCTCCATGGTAACTGTGAGGCAGCGCAAACAATCAGTGGCTAGACTCCAAGGCTGGTTCGCAATGCTCCAGTAAAAACTGTCAAATGTTTCTCACATGAAACATCGTGTAACATAAAATCACATAATAATGTATGGAAGAATCTGACATTATGTTGCACCTGGTGCACATGTGTTTCTTAATTTAAAAAAACGTCTATGGATGTATAGAAACTAGCCTCCTCCTAAACCTACTAAGGTCACAATTAAGCGTGTGGTTGAATCTACGGAATCTTCTGTTCTCTCAGCGGTGGGAGACAAGCTACAGTACCAGACCTCTTTCGTGGAACTGCCAGGGGAAATGCATACTCACCCAAACCCCCTCTTGCACCTGGGGTGCTGCCCCTCGCTCTCCAGGGCCTCTGCCATCCCAGGCTGGCTGTGCCCCAGCCCCTCTCCATCTCTCCAGCCCTGGCGCTCCATCACCCTCCTGCCCACGCCCTGCGGAGCAAACACAGCGGTCAAGCGGTCAGGAGCGCTGGACCTGCTGCTTCACTCACGACCAGCTAGCACCAAGCACAGAGACCACTGCTCCTGTCGGCCATCCCTGCAACTGCTACCTGCTCTGCACACGTAAAGGACATCAACCCGTCCATTCCTGCAGGGATCTCTTAGCTACAACACCGGGGATCGGAGACACAATGAAGACTGCTAGTGCTTTATTAGAAACTACAAGCTTAACTCTACTAAAACTGGACCGTTTATACGGGAGGAAAATCACTTGTCTCTTATGAAAATGGTTAAAAATCTAAGGGAAAATGAAGTTAAAGCCCAAATGTCAACATATTACTTGCAAACAATATGCAACTGAGGTTGCATTTGGTTTTATTGTATTTAACATCCAAGGTGGCATGAGTCAACAATGAAATCAGTCTTCCAGCTGAGCCACAAACTCCCAGGCTAAGTATCACATGCCAAGGGTGAGACCCCGTAAGAGGCTGTGACAGGACCACTGCCCTGGGCTTTTACTCCCTCTTTTCCATACCTTCGTGAACTTCTCAAAACTGCCGATCGGACGACACTGCGTCGACCCCTCCTCCAGCCCCTCTCTCAGTCTGCGTTCATATCTCATGCGGACATAATCACGGGCGTCCTTATCACCTCCGTCTGGAAACAGGGAGAGAGGGAGGCTGTGAGGACACCAGCTGGTAGCGACACCTCGACGGGATCGGACACCTTCCGATCCCGTCGAGCTCGTTGGGACAGTCACTCATCAAAACATAACACTCAAACGTAAAATATCTACTGAGAAACGTCAGCAATTAGGTACTCGGGCTGCATTTGACAAAAACGTTTCAATCCACTCAGATATTTATACAGTACTGCAGTGACGCATGACGTCTGAATCTAAATGGACAGTGTACCTTTGTCATAGTAGACGCTCATGTCCACATCCCAGTCATCAGCCGTTTGCTCGTCGAAATCTGCCAGCGACAAGAAGGATCAAAGGGAAAATCACCAGGAAAGAATTCCATCTGCTTGTCTGTAAATACTGTTTCACTGACCAACTTCATAACATGTTGAAACCAATTATCACTGTATATTAAAACAAGGATGGGATTCCCTTTCCTTAAGGGTTTTGTATTCCATAAGCTTGAGTAAATTCCAAATCACTTGACCGGATCCCAGAAAATTATAATGCATCAGTACTGCTCCTTAACTGAAGTCCCCCACTGAACTGGAGATGCACCTAATCTGATTGCTTTAGGACTACAGTGCAGCTCGTAGTCAGAGGTAGAAGGAAAACCACTAAGAGTGCGAATGAGATGAAGCCACTGCAATAGTTCCTACAGGACACTTTGTGCCATATTTCAGTTTTTGAACCTCATCTTTAACTGGAGGTGTGGTGACAGGTTTTGATAAAAAAAAAAAGTAATGGTGCACGCAGATGACCTTGGACTTTAGATAAACACGCTGCTGTTCTGCAACAATTCAGAAGATGCCAAGTAAGAAAAGCAACATTGGCAGGAACCCTCCTTTATCAATCTCCCAGCTTGTTTTGTCAATAAGCGTTATCATGATCAGCATTTAAAGGGAGATTTGTAATAAATACCACGATGGGACAATCAAGCACACACCTCAGTGCGAACCTACTCAGAACATATGAATGGTTACAAACAAGAGGCCATTCAGCCCATTTAGGCTACCACTTGTGTGGTAGTTAGTATTTAACTGATCCAGCCGTTTCTTAAAAGAAGTCAAGATATCGTCTGCAACAATGTGTCTGCCTGCTTGTTCCACTCCCCCACAACCCTTAGGGTAAAGATGCGCCTCCCGCCCTCAGCTTGAAATGCCCTGCTCAGGCAGCGCCTCACCGCCTTCCTCCTCCTTCCAGTACTGCGCGTCGGTGTAGAACACCAGGCCCGAGCCGCCCTTCTCCCACTTCAGCTCGATCTCGTCCTCGAACAGCCTCTCCTCGGCGCGCTCCTGCCGCGTCACGTCTTCGCGCAGGGCCTCGTGGCGCTCCCACTCCTCGCAGGCGTCCGCGTCCTGGCACACACACGCAGGACACACAAAAGCCCGCTCACTTGTGCTCGCCACGAACACCACACAAGGAGGCAATTCAGCTCGCCTGGCCCACTGGGTTGTGATTAATGAACAGATCCAAGATTCTCAACCAGCCGTCAGGGTATCGGATTCAGGAGCATGACTGAGTAGCTTGTTCCACACTCCTGCAACCCTCTGGGTAAAGACCATGCAGTACAATCGATGACTGACCATGACTGTATGCTCTTAGATGACTCTTCCAAAACTGTTTCAACTGACTGCAGAAAAAACAGGATCTGGTCATGGCTGGATTATACCCATTAATACCCACAACTCATCTTCCCTGTCTTAAACCACTTGTGCAAACTTTCCAAGTTGCAGGGGTTAAGTTAAAAAATGATGAACATCCTAGAGCTTCTTGAATTTTCACTAGCAGCAGCACTGTCAAGAACAGACGAGCCATGTTTCCACATCACGGTCTCCTCCCATGTTTTTCCCTGCAGCGGAACACAGCGCAGTGCTGTCAGGGAGGAGGGAGGAGCGAAACCACATTCATTGGAACTGACTGGCGCTGGGGCCGAGCCCTGAGAGACACAGGTGCAAGTAGTGAAAATGATTGGTCATTTCTTGGAAAGATCAAGGAACGGCACAGTGGCGCAGAGGCGAGCACTGGTGCCTCGCAGCGCTGGGGCCCTGGGTTCTACTCCTGGGGCGCTGACTGTGTGGAGTTTGTATATTCTCCCCCACCCCCCTGTTTGCATGGATTTCCTGACAGTGGGTCTGTGACCTACTTTGACAGACACTGCTAGCAGCCATATCACCCTGGCAACCCACTGAAGCTCAGCAGGTGTGAGCCTGGCCAGTACCTGGCTGGGAGACCAGAGAAAGCTAAGGGTGGTATACCAGTATCAGGAATGATAATTATTGTGATTATACTGGTAGATTCTGGGAAACCTGTGTGTACCCTGCCTTGTGCCTGTTGCTTGCTAGGCTCTGGCTCCCTGCGAGCCTGTACTGGATGAAGTGCTTAGAAAACGCCGGGGTGGATGCTAAGGTAAAGGTAAGGATCTTATGGGGACAGCTGTTAAAATAAAGACAATTCCACATGGAAGGAACTCAAAAGCCAAACTCAGGCTGACTCACATCCTCCGAGTCCGACTGCGGCCCGCCCTCGCCCCCGCCGGGCACGGCGCTCTCCCGGGCGGACTCCTCGCTCCCCCGCCCCCCCGGCCCGGAGAGCTCGGCGCCCCCGGCTGTGTAGACGCTCTCCCCCGGCGGCGCCACCGTCTGCGTGCCGCGGTACTCGAAGGGCACGTTGCCATAGCGCCGGCTGGAGGCCGTGCGGGGGAAGCTGAGCCCCAGTTTGCGGATGAGGCGGGGGGGCAGCCGGCAGGCCTGGATCAGCTGCAGGAAGACGGGGACCGGGGTGCCCACGTTGCCGCGGGGCATCAGGGCCGGGGGGTTCATCTCGGGCAGGGTCCTCAGGTCCTCCTCGGTGAAGCGCTCGCTCAGGGCCACGCGGCGGCGCAGCTCCGGCCTGGTTCGGTACGGGAACTCGCTCCGGTCTAAACAGACGGAAAAACGCTTTTTAAAAAAAAAACGGCACCGCAGTGGCTCTGTGGCTCAGGATCTGCGCCTGTGGCTGGAAGGTTGCCGGTTTGTATCCCTCGGCCAGCAGAGGAATCCTACTCCGCTGGGCCCCTGAGCAAGGCCCTTCACCCCAACCGCTCCAGGGGTGTTGTATGAATGGCTGACCCTGCGCTCTGACCCCCAGCTTCTCTCCCTGACTGTGTGTCTCATGGAGAGCAAGCTGGGGTATGTAAAAAGAAAAATTCCTAATACAAGACATTGTATTTGGCCAATAAAGTTATCTTATTTAAAACGAACGAGCTAGTAATACTGGATAGTCATCTTCACAAACAAAACCATCTAATGTTACTCTGTTGCTTATTGGTTATAAGATGGCAATGCAATATTAAAATAACAAGGCAAAACAAGTCATGTAAAAATGTTAACTTTTTGAGTCCAGACTTGTATTTAACTCTGACAGCATATTGTTTTATGTTCTTTTTGGTTAAGTGATTTTTACTGCCTGTATAGATCACCCTGTAGCTCACAGCTGGCAGCCTCACTGAAGCTCAGCAGGTGTGAGCCTGGTCAGTACCTGGAGGGGAGAAACCTGGGAAAAACTAAGGTTGCTGCTGGAAGAGGTGTTCGTGGGGCCAGCAGGGGGCGTTCATCCTGCGTTTCATGTGGGTCCTAATGCCCCGGTATAGCGACGGGGACACTATACTGTAAAAAGGTGCCATCCTTCGGATGAGACATAAAACCGAGGTCCTGACTCTCTGTGGTTATTAAAAATCCCAGGGCGTTTCTCGAAAAGAGTACGGGTGTTATCCTTGTTAAATTTCCCCACCGGCCTTTACCAATCATAGCCTCCTAATAATCCCCATCTATGAATTGGCTTCATCATTCTGTTCTCATCCCCAGTGATAGCTGGTGTGTGGTGAGTGTGCAGGAGCACTATGGCTGCCGTCGCATCACACGGGTGGTGGGGGAGGAGATCCCCATTACCTGGAAAGTGCTTTGAGTACGGCATCCAGAAAAGTTCTAGGTAAGAATAAGGAATATTTATTTAATTATGAGCAAGTGCAACCCGTGGATTATACGCAGACAAGGGATTACTGTGTATTTATATGGGTTTGGTGTTATTGTGAGCAGAGTAAATTTACAGGGTTCTGGTGCAGCCGTTAGGTTATGTGTGAAAGGATATCCTATGGGCCAGTGTCTGTTATGTAATATAATGTGTACTTGTACTGTTTGTATGTTTTTCTAGGTTTTTGTGTATGTACAACATAGCTGCTTTGATGTAAGACAGATGTCTGAGAAACACAGAAATGAAGTATTATTGTATGATATGGGAAAGACAGGAAAGTGCAATGAAGACCAAGAATTGCAAACAATTCTTGCGATAAATGTCATATTGAAAATGGCTCTTTCAATGTCGGACTACATTTTCGTCATTGTTAAATAATCGCGCTGTACTAACATGCTCCTCTTAAGTCAGAGGTTTCACACGGCTGCAGGAAGTAAAGGACCAGACTATGTATTTAACCCTTCTGACTCGGTTTTCTTCGTGGGTGCACCCTGACTACAGACAATATACTGAAAGGGTTTAAAAAAGTAGAGACTGCATTATAATCCACCGTACCTGACTGGGCAGACACTTTTATTCGTCGGATCACACAGAGGCGACCGAGCCAGCTCCCCTCCGAATCAATCCACTGCTGCCCTGCGTACATCTTCACGAATTTAGCAGCTTCTTGGGCGTGAACCGAGACCACACAGCAGCAGCTTGTTTTGGCCTTCGTGGCGGCGACCCCCTTGGCACTGACCGCCGACGCGGAGCTGCCCTCCCCCGGGTCACTGCTCCCCGGACACTCCGGCGTCTCATCGGATCTCTCCGGCTCCTGATTCCCACCAGACACGACAGGATCCTTCAGGACTTCGGGTCGGTGCCGGTAGTGGAAACACACGAACCCCCCGCTTTCGATAAACTGGCTGAAGTAGTTTCGCAGATCCGCCGATCGAAATTTTGCCGGAATGTTACTAACAACAACATACACAACACCAGAGTCGGCCATGTTTCAATCACAAACTGTTCCTGTAACGCAGGCAGTGACGTCATACCCCATTTGTATGAACTTTATTGTTCACAGAAAGACCAGCAACAACACATTCAGCCACTAGGTGGCGCGCGTCTCTTTTTAGTTTGCCCCTGGACTTGCATGGACACAGGCGTACGTTCATCGTGTCTTATACGACTTTTTTGCTTAATTTGTGAGACACACGGGCCTATACCATTGGCTTTCGTTTCGTTTCTTCCATCTTTCATTTTAGCTTAGCTCTTTTAGTTTATGGCGCATATTGAAATGAGGCTAAACTGAATGCGTATATCTTTCGTAATTCGTGAATTGAAGAATAACTTCAGGACGGGAAGGACATAAAGGAGTAAAGGGAAGCGTGTGGTTTAATTACGCTGTATTGTGGAAAAACAAAAATGTAAAAATATGTATGTCTAAGGGTTATTAAAGACAATCTACAGTTTATCTGTATACGTTCACAGATAATTAACTGCGTGGAACAAAACCTAAAACCAAGCACTTATTCTTGTCGTTTCATGTTTTTGGAGACGTAATATTTTAAATAAGACATCCTGGAAAGTAGTCTTGAGCGGAATGCAGTATGAGAAAACAATTTCATTTCTTCTAAGCCAGGAGAGCTCCAGTCCAGCAGTTTTTTTTAGACTTGGCCTTTTAAATCGTAAGTTTCCAAAGGTCTGGATCAATTTAACTTTGATCCATTGAAGAGGTGGAGTGCTCAATTAAATCATTCTGAGATAAAGTGGAAGAAAGTTCTCAATCACCAGCGTCCCCTTGACTAAAACATTACGGCTAATTGAATAAACAAGTGTGCCTTGTCTTGAAATACCAGGTGATTTAGGGTGGCTTGTAAGAATAACTGGTTGGAGACACCTGGATTAACTATTAATCAAAACAAATAATCAATTTTTATTTACTCATGGAGTGTACTGTATGTACCACCATGCAAATGTTTCCAGATGGGGATTACTTGAGTTTTTCTCCATCACAGATGCACTGTATTCAGAGTGTGACTGGCACCTATTTATATACTGTATGTTGTGATGCAGCTCCTGTGGTTGTAGGTACTGTAACTGGTGTTTATCACAGCTAACTGCTGTGACTACGCCAATAAGCCTCAGGACTGAAACGTTTTACATAAAGCTTCTTTTTTTGATGAGTCTTACCCAAAAATCAATCTGGAGGGGCTGACTGGAGACCTTTAAATAATATGGTTGTATACTTTTGTGTATGTTATTGGCTTGGTGAGAGGTGTAGCTAAATTCCATTATTCAGCTCCAAGAAACGTTTCATCTTGGCTAAAGTCTACTTCCTAATTTACATTTCTTTTAAAAAAAGTGCCCTTTATTTTTCTTCTTTCTCTTTCTTCTAGCTTTGATGTGAGCTTCACTTCTTTTTCTTATGATCTGATCGGTTTGTGTTATGTAGCCATATAGTTTCCCACACGGCGTTCACAAAAAATGGTAGGTCTCGCACTTCGAGATTGTGTCCCGAAGTTTTCACAGGTGCGACCATGACTTATGAATGTCCAAAGTTCCTCAGACAATGGCAACGTGTAAGATTAATTCCTGCTGGATTTTTATCTGAAAATCTCACGATTTTAATTGTCTCCAACATGTTCAGCTTATTGCATTTGATTAGGATTTAAGACTTATGAAATTAAAAACATAATGCCCCAAAGATAGTTTCTAACAGTAAAAATGGAAAGTGTTTAATTTATTATATAAAGTGTTTATACTAAGACAATATTCAGACATACTGTATCTAGTGCCAGTAGTGCCAGATTAGGTATCAATGAACAGTGCAAACTAGTCTAGTGTTCTTTCTTCTGTAAAAGTGAATAACCCTATAGAAATACTGTATAAACAAAAGAAGGAAGTCAAAAATCCTGAGGGTGCCTTCAGTAAATATATGACACTGACATCATAAGCAAACTTTTTTGCGAAACAGCAGCCAATTTCATAGCGGCTGAACTCTGTCCACAGGTCAGCTGTCATCCCAGCTACGCCTGGCGTCCCTGACCGTGTTTTTCACAAGTCCGACGCAGGACAGCAGATTTTGAGATCTGGCACCATCATACAGTAGTGCTGCTCATTCTTCGAAATGCAAAAACAATGAATCCCCTCGTCGCTGTCAAATGATTTGAGTTGTTTTGGGCTTTTTTTTTTTCAGATCATGTCATGAATGTGTATGAAATCACACATTTTGAGTGATTCTAGGGAAGATTTATTTCATATGCAAGGGTAGGCAGCACCGACCTGGACTCCCAAAACACAGCAAAATACTAGAACATTGAAGACCTCATGACAAAACACAAACGCCTTCAAAATAATTGACTACATTTAATGAAGAAAAATTCCCTACTGCAGGGGTCTTCAGACAGGAGGTGGGGGCATGGGGGGGGGGATCAGGGACCCCAGGATCCTCAGAAACCATTTAGGGGGTACCCAATAATGAGGAATACATCTCAACACAAGCCTGGCAGAATGTAAGATCAACACTTTTAACTCAGTGGACCCCTCTGACAGTGCCGTCATTGATCAATGAATGTGTGGTGCAGTTGTTAATGCTCATTAATCCACATTACAAACTTCAGTCTGGTAAACTGGAACATATGGAGAGAGAAATATTGAGTACGGGGGTTTAGAAAGCCAGAAATGTATGAAAGCTACTCTCTAAAGCAAAAGGAAACCTGCAGTAATTCATTTCGCGCTAAGCCAGACAAATATAAAGCTATGGTCTAGAAAGGTCTACCTATTTGTTTAATTTTTGTTTATGGTCTGGGATTGCATAAGCCAAGATAAGGTTATACAGTTTTTAACTCTGAAGTATACTATACGAATTTGCACTCTAATGACAGCTCCTTTTTACGATTTCTCCAAGTTAAAAATTGAGTAAAAAATTTCAAATAAAATGTGGAAAATGACCCAAGGTCCTTGCGAGTTCCTTTTTGAGTAGGCTTGAAAACGCTGTGACACAATGTGACAGTCAACAACCCAGAGAAACTTCACCTGTTTCCCTGGCCTTCAACTTGCTTTTATGAGGCTACTTTTTTTTTTGGTTTTACAGAAAGGGAAGGCTACCTTGACAAAACCTCTGTTCCAACCACAAAACCGTGCAACAAAAATGAGATCATGTCAGCTACTGTTTGAAAACTTTATTAAAAAAATTGTCTCCATAACATCAAGTCAGCAATATGCAAATGGTGAACTGAGCAGCTGTGACACAGTGTGGGGCCAGTTAAATAGAGGTACAGAATGACCCACGGGGCAGTCTGCATAAAAGAAAAAAACCTGCTATTTGGATGCAATTTTCCTAGTGGGCTATTAACAACCATTGAAACCGCTTCCGAGAGATTCTCTCTGACTCAGCTCAGCTGAACTTTGCCTTTGAGAAATCCATTTCTGGGTGCTGTGCCATGAACCTGCAAAGACAGACAATGGGAAAAAAGTCAGATATTAAAAGCAGAGACAGCCATTTTTTTTAGAAAGAAAAGGTTCAGTCAAGAGTTGCTACTCTTTTAGCATCTTTCTCTATTCTAAAATTGCTTATTTTACCTTTGACGGAGCATACCAGTAAAGCTCGCTCACGTCAATGACATCAGGTGTGTGTCTCATTAATTATTAATTGCTAAAAGGTAAAGGAACACACAGACGTATTCTGCAACAGAAATGCATTGATTAGTCAAAGTAAACTGGGGAGCTTGCACGTACACACCTAAAACAATCAAGAAAAATACATTTTTTTTTCTCCTGTGATTAGAAAAATGCTTTAGAAAATATTTTGTTCACATTTAACAATGTTAATCATCCCCAACTAAATAAGTGACTGCTGGAACAGAAAGCTTACGCACTTAGTGTCCTCTAATACAGGAATAATTTAACAAAACCTTTTAACAATGAAAGTATATACTGCCGAGCAAAAGTAAATCATACACAATGAGGTAATATTTTAGAGCACATATCCTACAAAATAAGCTATAGTCTCAAAACAGTTTCCCCAATGCTTGGATACACTATTTTAATTTTCTGAAAGGAGCAGATGTCTGTCAGTGCCATAGCAATAGATATTTGTTGGCACACCTGTTAGTAGATTCAGATCTAAGCTAATTATTATGTGTCTATGGGTAGCAAAATGACTGTTGGTTACATCTTTACATATTTATTACATTAAAAGAAATTTAATATATGGCAAATTTCAATCTTCTCATACAACAGTGATTCTCAAGATGAGATCTGATTACAACTTATCTGATCATTACAAGACACGAAAAGTAACTGTTTTAGTTAAATTTGTTTTCTTCAGGTCTCCTTAAAGCATATCTATGTTTGTTTCATTCATTATAGTTTTCCACTGACATTTCATAATATCAGCTTTTCCCTATACTAAATACTTGGCAATTAATTTTAGTTATTATGTTCAATACAAAAAAAGTTACTAATTTGCTTGCATGAATCTGTGCCCATCCATTTCCTTACTTTTTGTGACTATTCTTCAAACAATGCAGCCACCAGTACATGAACTGTAGTGACACTTATGATGGATAAGATCTTTCTAGGCTTGCAATACATTTTCTAAAGTGAACCTGCCTACAAAAGTCAGTCACGGACATAGGTTTACAGCTTTCCACAGATAAGCTGCTGCCATTCGTGTCTGTCTCAACCTGTCCTTACCTTGATAAATGCAGCCCTTATCAGACAAGTTATAGTTTTGTAAAATTTACTGGGGGGGGAAATATAACAGCATTGCTTTCACAGTCAACCACCAACACTGAAGGTTAACAGGGTCCTTCGATAACCTTTAGTGCCTCCATAACTCCACATCTCTGCGCAGCACAACCCTCTGAATCCTAAATCCACCTCTTCTTGCACCTGTGTGGGAATTACTGTATCTATTCTTTGTAATTTGATTTTTTTAACTTTAATTAAAACAATTAACATTGGTTAACATTTCTGCCTAGCATCCCTGGGGCCTTGGTTTCAATTCCTTGGTTTGTTCATGTGGGTTTCTGATGGGTGTTCTGGTTTCAAGTCCAGAGACATACTGGTTGGTTAACTGGCCTTTGGGGAAATCTGGCCCTGGTGTGAGTGTGTGCGTGCTTGTGTCTGCGTCTGCCCTGCAATGGACTGGCGTCCTGTCCAGGGTGTCCCCTGCTGTGCGCCCTTTGCTTGACAGAATAGCCTGTGGCTCCCCTGTGATAAAGCAGTTAGAAACTGGATGGATGGTGCTGTCCATTCAGGTTAGAATGGTGTGAGGGCAGTCCCAGTATATCCCCATCATACATGCAGCTATTTTACATCGTGATCTATTCTTATTTCAAAAGAGTACACTGGTGCAGTGGCACATCAGCATAAAATGCATCACGAGGACATTCAAATAATTCACCTTCAATTACTTTTGTATAATGTAGCCTTGGTTAAGATGTCGCAAATAAAATGTTTAGTTTATGGAATTTTCCTTAAAGGCAGGATATTTTCACACAGCATTATGATTCTTAAATCCATCTATTTCCATCTGAGGCAGCTGAAAGGGAGTTGGTTTGACAGGACAGGCCACAGGTAGATAAGGATAAGAACTCTCAGACACCTTTTGTTCTCAAAATTGTAACCATCTTCACTTGAGAAAAAATGGAAATGAGGTAAAGTATTTATTTATAAAGAAAACAACATGGAAATGGCTGTTTTAGTTCAGAGAACCTGGAAACATGTTGAGGCCTGACTTGAGCCATGGGATTGCCTGACTGGGGGTACTTTTAGAAATAATAGGTTATCAAAGGTAATGAATTAAACAGTTCAGGATACAATCACTAAAAAGTGAAATGGGAGGAAAGCAGATGCAACAGTAACAAGGTGCACACAGTTTTTACAGACACGTGTCTAGAAAAATTAGACAAAAAGTTCAATCTAGCAAATGACAGTGAACTCCACATGTATGGTGAGTGAGTGGAAGCCAGTCTGGACCTAGCGTACACAGCTGTCAATAGTGCACAATCCTGATGAAGGTCAACTTTGGGCACATGGTGAGCTTCCACTAGCTGGTACAGTAAACACATAATCACTTTATTGGAACAATATACCTTGTTAGCCTGACCTTGACTGCGTAACTGTAGGAACTACTGCCGAGCCTTAAAGGATATGATTTTATATATATATTTGGCCTTTACCCAGACCCGTAAAACTGTAAATGATCCAACGTCTAACAGCTACCAGGATTCAGTAGTTATAAAAACCAAACCATAAAATAAAACTAAAAACGTAATCACCAATCACGTTAGACATAAAATCTCTTTTCTCCTGTACATTCTGTGGAACCATCTGCTTGGGTGTAATATAAGCAGATCCAGATTGTTTCTGGAAATATGCGTTGCATAAAGACAGCATATAAAAATAAATCTTCAAACCATGATAAAAATGTATGTCTAGGTAAGCACATATTAAGAAAAATAATTAACCTTTCACAAATGAAAGAGTCAAGATTAGAGACAATAACTCAGGAAATTACCCAGTCACACTAGCTAAAGGGTCACCGGGCCCATGCACAATTTCCACATAGTTGCAGCAATGTAAGCAGACTTACTTTTTCAGGATGTCCTGTTTCTTCTGTTCGTCTGAGGTTGGCAGACCCATAGACTTCTGCCTCTGGTCATACATCATCTTCTCCACCATGCTGCGCGTCTCCCCATCTAGGTCAGACAGCTGTGCACAGTGACCGACAAAGGGATCTATATTATCAGAGGCATCACTTACGTTTTCATGCATTCACAGCTCCTATAAAATATTCTCATGGTGACTCAATGTTCCTGAACTTTGGAGTAGAAACAGACAGAGGTCATGGTCATATCAGATTAGCCAACTGCATAGAGAAAAAAGATCAAATCTGAAATTATGATAAAAGCAAATTAGGTTTTTTCCTACATTTGAATGCCTTATCATGCTCCTTAGTCAGAAGAAAAGCCCCCCTCCTCATATTACCTTGGAATTCTCTGGACATATTTTTTTTGTGTTGAGTTCTGGGTCTGTTGTCACAATCTTGCTCCACCACTCCATTTTGTTAATCTGAAAGAGAAGACAGGGATTTGTGGCCACCTGGGTCTACTGTTGTCAGAACTGCAAAACTCAAAGCAATGAACACAAGGTAAAGGTGTTACGTTAAAACTGGTAAAAAAAAACAGTTACGTTGCACACTCAACACTGTTTTAATAAACACTTAATGTAAGTAAATGGCACAAAACAGAAAACAAAAACCTTTAACATGCAGTGTTACTAAGAAAATGACAGTCACTGGGTAACATTTCAAAAAGGAAATGAGTGAAGGATTTCTGTTTTTCGTGTACGCAACACAGAACAGCGTATACAAGAGATTCTATCAGAAGTCATGAGAAACAAATCTGAAAGAAGGCAGAAATCACAATTCAGAACTATCTGCACTAATACCTGTATACATACATACCAGTTTTATAAACCTGACATGCAGAGAGCAACACTACAGTCTGCAGATTATCACTGGAAGAGCAATTACAGTTAGGTCTACAGAGGATGAAGCATTCGACAAACTCTCTCTCCCACCTTTCAGAAGGCAGGCTAGTCAGCAATGAGATCGCGCTGTAGGGTGTGTGTGAGTGGAGGCTACCAGCGCTGCAGGTCTCGCTCCCTACCTTCTCCAGATGGACAGTGACAATCTTCCCGTCCTCGATGAGCCAGGAGCTCTCCTCCACCTTCACCTCATTGTACAAGTCTGCGTCAATCACCGGCGGATGCCCCTTCAGGCCCACCTTGAGGTGCCGCCTCTGGATGTCCACTACCAAATCCTTCCCCTTCAGGCGGAACTTAACATCAAATGGCACTAGGAGCTGGGGGTTAATAAAAGAGAGCATACATTGATAAAATGACGCTTATTTACAGCAGAAGGGAACAAGTAAAATGCATGAAAAGGGAGGCTGTTTGGCTAGATTAAAAAAAACAGTTTATGCCATATATAACTTAGAGCCCAAGAATTTGGAAGACCTTCATTGACATCACCACCACTACTTTTATTATGATTATAAATAATGGCACAGTAATTTTTGCATATTTAGATCAGCTTTATTCATCAGCTCACAGACTATTCTATTACAATCCATAACTGTAGCATTGTCCCATGTATGATTATCTCATCAAATATCAGAAGCTATATAAGGCTTTGCCTACTCACTAATAGAACAGGAGAACTCCAAGAAAACCAAGCTTGGTGCTTTAAGTGAACAATTTTCAAACAATGCCCCAGTAAGCTGAAAGAGAACACCGTACTGTAGGCAAGAAAGCCTTGTGGATAATGTTTAATCAGGTTCCTGGCTCACATATCATTGAAGAGCCCAAGGCACTGTTAGAATGAGTAGGATTGTTAAATCAGAGTGACCTCCCTAAACTCTCCTCTTAACTGAATTAGAAAATCAATCATTCACTTTGCATAATAACTACCGTGTGACATCCAGATGGGTGCTGCCTGCACTTCACAGGAGGATTGAATGTGCCCATCCTATTTGTAACATGTTTTGAGATCCAGTGGAATGAAAATCACTATGTAAATTCAAGGAATTAAAAATCCAAAGCACCGGTAAGGTGCTTAGCTGCGTGGCATATTCGTACAAATGGTCTGCTGAGTTTTCCTCACGATGAAAGAGTGTGTAATATGCAAAGCAGGGCTCGATGCTTCAATACATCCACTCACATCCACTTCTGAAAGGGTCTGTGTCCACCTGTAGTTGGGCAGATCAGCTCCATTGCCAGAGTTAGGCTTCAGCTTTCCTTTGTCCTTCTCGTCTTCCTCGCCTTCTGAGTCAGACTGGAAAGAAGAAAAAAAAAAGCATTTTCTTTATTATGAAAAAAACATTTGGATGAGCGACCCTTTCCACAGCTTCAGCATTCGCAATCATTCCTATCTTGTGCTTTCTTCCCAACCCTATCCTTTAGTTTTATTTGACAATTTTAAACAAGTTAATTGAGGCTTAAGTATTACAAGACAGTCAAGGCACACTGACTGATCTTACCCCTTTGTCCTCCACTTTGTCAGATGAGTTCTCTGCGTCATTCTTGGGAGCACTTTCCTGCTTTTTTGCCTCTTCTTTTTTCTTGTAATGAGAAACAAGAGATGCCATTTATGAATGGACAGCACTGTGCTGGAAACAAAGAGAACAGAAGCTTGGATATACTGTACATGTGCTCACCCAGTGTGCTGGTTCAGCTCCATGAACCAGACAACACAAGTTCAAGCCTGGGTCACTAGCGGTCTCTGGGACTAATGTGCTAGTGTCACTAGCTGACCCTGACTGGAGGTTCCCTGAACAACATCACACAACTAGCAGAATGGTTAGGTATAAAATGAAAAACAAAAATGAATTCAGAGACGTTCACCCTTCATGAAGGGAAGAAGTGGGACGGCATATGTTTTAGGTCATCATCTAGACTGTGGGAGATTGTGGGAGTTTAAGCAAGAAATATTTTCTTAGTATGCATGCTTGATCTCTACTCCTGTACTGAATTACTTAAATTCAAACCATTTTGTAAAGATACACAGTAGGCATACAGAACTGAAGGGAATAAATGGATACCTGATGCATCTGCACACCCATCCAAGTGCTTTCTTGCACAAAAGTGTCTTACTGTTCGGTGTTATACCATCTTCTGTATCTGGCTCTGTGTGCACTGCCATCTTCCTGCAGATCAGGGTCATTCACCTGGTCGATCTCCGACTGCAGCTGTGCCGCCTCCTCGTCCGTCAGCTCCTTGATCTTTGGCTCGTTCTGTTCTCCGGTCTTCTTCTCCTTCCCCTCCTCCTCCTCCTCTGCCAGCCTGGCAGCTCTCTCTGCCTTCTCCCGCCGCTCCTTCTCCTGCTTTGCGCGTTTTTCCCGCTGAGCCTTCTGCGCCAGCTGATTGTGATGTGCAAAGGCCTCCTTCACCAGCTAGCCGGGGGATGGGGAGGGGAGAGAGGAAGGGAACTTCGGTCAAGGCTTACTGTGTTTGCCAACTGAGGTCAGACATGGCCAAAAAGCGATGACAGTGATGCCCTTTATACTAACTATACTAACCCATGCAAAAACTGCATTTTTCTCATTTCAAATATACCCCAGCAAAGGTCCCAAGGTATAAATATAACAAGAAGCATTAAGATCACCATAAATTAATAGTTGAATGAACAGTATTTGTCGGATTTTAATACATTTCAGTAGAGATTTCGTGTGTTTCTGCGATGACTCACAAAATATATACAGTGCACTTTTGTGAAAAAATCGTAAACATTCAGCAATATGCTATTGCTTTTGCCGTGTTTTTCCTCTTATATGGAGAATCACGATGTCTTGGCTATCTTCTACTGAACATGGAGCCATGTTGTTTTAAGCTAACAGTTAGATCTGTACAGTAAGTATAAAAAAACAACTTTTTAGCATTAGTGACGTGTACAGAGGAGCAAATAATGCTCTAGGGAGAATCTGACAATGAGGCAGACAGACTTCCGTGGCAAATAACTTCTGTGGATTAGCTACTTCAACGCTTAATATTTACTACTCAATAGTTGTAACTAAACCTTTTGAATATTCATTAGAACATGTTAGAAATAACAGGGGGCTCCTCTAGTACATTTGGTACTTAGTAACTAATTGATCAACACATATTAAAGATAATTAGATTTCAAGGTTGATTTATTCTAACTCAAATTAGGCTGTATTGGCAATTAAATCTGTGAAACTTGTAGAAATCTAGTGGAAGTCAGAATAACGAGGAATACATTGTGCTCTTCAGAAAAAAAATCAGCAAAAAATGTAAAATGATTTATTACATTTGTTGTGAATTCATAATTATGTCTTATCACTAGTATCTATCAATAAAACTTCAATACAATAAAATGCTACTGGTTTCTGGCTGCTGAGGGAGAAACAGCTGTCTCAGATTCTGAACTACAATTGCAGAGTGCAGAAACAGAATTCCTACCCAGTAAGGTCAATTTATTGGGGTAAAAATATTTATTGGGGTATAACTGTATACCTGTTAAAATAACCCACTGTCTGATGCCTGATTTACAGATACAAGGCAACAGTTCAATGTGCAGCTCTCAGCAGATCCTGGAAAAACATGTTTTCATCCCTGAGCCTTCCCTTGCATCACAATGTCTGACCCCTGAAGTATTTTTTGGACACTTTCACACTGTGCAGTAACAGGAAGATATTGAGGTCAACAAACCAGACTTTGTACTACTTCAGCAGAGACAAACAAATGAGCTTGCCAACTGGGAGAAGCTATGAACTGCAAAACAGCAAGGACAGGAGCATGACCCTGTCCTGGACCTTCCATACAGAAGTGATTTAAAAAAATAGTAATAATAAGAAGGCCTGCATATTTATGAAGAGTCATATTTGGAAAAAAAAGCAGCATGTTAATTCATAATTACATTCATCATTAGTATCAAAAACCTACGAATGTTTTTGGATCATTCCAAATCCAAAAACATACTCTGATAATTCTAAAAGTCAATTGGAAGACTAAAAACCAGACTAATTCCACCTCTCTTCAGCTGCATTAACACAAGTGTGGAACAGGAGTGAAACAGATGACAGCCCTCTGGCCTAACCCATCTTTGCTTTAAAACACTTTCTTGAAATTATCCTACAAGTAACTCAAATGAAACATAAAAGACTGTGTCCCAGATCCTGATTCTCCCCGAGATCTCAAGCATGTGACAAGAGATGAAGGCAAAGATGCAAGGGCAAGGACACCAGGACAGGAGTAATGTGATCACGTGCACAGGATCACCTGAATAAAAATCAGAAGATTATTACCTTCTCTGGTGCCCCTGGTTCCCCGCCTGTGAAAAAGTCTGTTTTGCGCCTCAGAAAGCTGAAGAATGTGTTCACCAGCTACAAAATATAGAACGCAAATAATTAACCCATTATGGCATGATGGTATTTACAGTACATAAATTACACCGTTCAACTCTGCCATTGGAATTCAAGGTTTCAATTAACACTGGCTTTCACATCAACACCATTCACAGCATCCATCCTCATACAAAACCACAAACGAAACAAAAGTGATTTGACAGGTTCAAGACATCTGTGCTGGGAAGATAAATAATGGAAGGAGGTATTGCTCAAGTTAACACTGTGCTGCTATGCAACTCCTCCAGCATGCTTTCAGTTTTAAAATGCCAGACCAATTCCAAAAATCCCTTCTTCTTTTTAGATTAACTAAAAGTAACCTGCATATACATTTGTTAATTCAAGATATGAATGGTAACATGCATTCATGCATTTAAAATGAATGTATTTCACTAATCTAATACTATATATTATTAGGAGTTTAGTGAGCTGAATAGCCCTTTCATTTGTAAGGTTTCTAACCTTTCTTGTGTAGTGCTATAAGATACCTTTTCAGTGTTAGTTTTGATCTTATTCATTGTATTTTAACGTGTGTGGTGTGCGGGCTGCAGATTGTGCTGCTAATGGCAGTTCTTTGTTTTACTGAGTGCGAACACAAATCGGCAAAGAGCAGGATTTTTTTAAATCAAGAACAAGGCCTGTAAGAAAAGATGAAGAAATGTCTTGCCTTTCCACACAACGCTATGAACCGACTTTATATATGGGCTTCAGAGCACTGCGCTAAACTTTTTATCCATCTCCCTGTATTGTTTTTTTTTTTTGCAATTGGCACCAACATTTAGTTTCAGCCCCTATTTCAGTGACAGGTAATATATTTATATGGTCGGAGATTAGGCTACATCAGAATATTAGGGAGTACGGATACAAAAGGCCAATAAATGGAAATGCTGATAACTTATGTTTGTCCAATTACGGGTGAAGATACACACGGGAAGGTTTATTTTCTCCTGTATTCTGTTTAATATTTTAAAGATAAAGAACATAGGTTACTTTCAAATAAACCCACTGAAACCCAGCGCAATAAAACGATTCCCAAGACTAATAAACCGTTTTACTTTACTTATTTACTCAAAGCTTTATAATATCTTACGAAATTGCAGATAATGTTTGACCATACAGCAATTAGAGAAAGGGACTGCAACGGAAATTCTTTAAGCGTTTTTGAGAGCAGTTCCCCATCCCCCATAAAAATGTAACATCCACGAGTTTGTTATTATGTATTACCTCCTGCACTCCACCGTCATGCTGTTGAGCCATAGCCAACAGCATACCGTCAAACCTCTCATCTTCTTCTGCCATGGCTTATCTAATAAATAAATTTTAATTTGAAGAACGTTTGTTACAGCAACAGTCGCAAACTCAATGAATGTCTTGTCACGCTCCCCGCAGCCATGCAACCATTGACTTCCTGGAAACAAGCACCGCCTCCGTTACAACCAAAAAAAAAGGAAAATCAACTCTCACCCAATCGAATGTTTTATTTATAACTGACAGGTCCTGTGAACCAATCAACTATCAGCAGTGTCACCGAGAGGGCTGGTTCAGAGCGTTCCGACTGTTAAATCGCGCCGACTAGGAACAGAGTCGCGGTTAGAGTAAGGAATGTTCTGGAAGGTGAAAGAAAATGCAGTGTTTGTGGCTCTAGGGGAAGTGTAGAGTGGCACCATTGTCATGCTATAATGTAAGCATTCAATGTAATAAAGATGATATTATGCTACCTTTTCAAAGTATGTCTAGACTTTGGTTCGTTTTGACAAACGGTTTGCAGTATTATAAGATACCGCAAAATTAATAGTGAATTCACCGTCTTCGACTTCATGTCTTTAGCATAAGGAGATCTGCTTGCCAACATTTGCCAACAGCTAGTACAGTATTTTGCAGCAACTCCCCTTTTCCAATTATACTCTGTTAAATTGGAAATAAATTTAAATTAATCTAGCAGGTTGGAGTATGCATATCACGCTTCAAAATTCTAATAAGTAAAAAGAATATAATGAACTTTGAGAGATTTTAGACATTTTTTAAGGAATGTAGAAAACATACACAGGCCTATATAAAGTGTTGACCTTCTGTTTTTTTTATAAATTCAGTCAGTTGCGAAGTAGTCATTTATTTGGCTAACACAGATTTTCATCTGTATGGTTGGGTATGTTAGTGGAACAATACCGTAGAAACAACTTGCTCAAGGGAACATCAGCAGAGCCTCACCTGAGATTTGAACTCACAGCCTTGCAGTGGTTAAGTCCAGATTCCTGACCAGTCCTACCCAAAGAACAGGTGATCACATTTGAGAACAAATGACCATTTATAATGATGACCCATTTTAGAGGGCATTTATTGCAGTGTGCTGAGTGAAGTACCTTGCTCAAAGTTACAACAGCAACATCCAACCTGGAAGCAGTACCCATAACACTCTGGTTTACAGTCCAGAGCACTGCTACTCCATACTACTACCTGAATATTACATACAAGTTACTAAGTCATGGGTGGCACAGAGACTAGCATTGCTCTCTTGCAGTGTTGGAGCCCTGAATTCAATTCTGGGCCTGGAGTTCTTTCTGTGTGGAGTTTATTATGTGTTCTCCTGATGTTCTTATGAGTTTCCTCTCACAGTCCAAAAAACGTACTGGTAGGTTAACTGTAGGAAAACTGGCCCTGGTGTGAGTGTGTCTGTGTGTCTATCTTGTGATGGACTGCATCCTGTCCAGGGTGTATCCTGCCTTGAGCTCTTTGATTGCTGGGATAGACTCCTGCTCCCCCCTGTGATCCTCAACTGGAAGAAGTGGTTAGAAGATAGATGGAAGTTACTAAGTGATGCCCATTATCTTGATTTATTTGACTTTGAGTCATGTGAATGTTTGTCTTTCAGTATGTTGTTTCTGCTTGAAAATGCTGTTTCCAGTACTAAGAAACGTGCCTGGAAGTGATAAAGAAAGGTGAAGCAGCTTAAATATGAGGAATTGAGGTTGGTCAAATATGTTGACACACCTCGTCAATTATGGATGTGAATACTCTGTAGAAGCCCAGGAAATAATTGTTGTTGTTAACTACATTTTCTAATGGTTATGCAAGTTTTACTGAAATATGTCTTTTAATGTCTTGTAATACTGATTACATATTACATACTGTAAAACATATCTCTGATTACTCTCTGTCCTAAAAAATATTCATGGGAGAGGCATAATATATAGAGTATAGCTTGTTGTGGGACTGTAATTTAGCGATTCGATGATCTAGATGAAAGGAGGCTTGTCCTGTGAAGTTTGCAGTGCTGATGTTTTCAGTGCATTGTCCTGGCACTACTTACCAGTCAGCTGACAGTGAGACAGACCTGTTTATTCCGACGGTATGTTGCACAGTTAATCCAGTCAGTGTGCAGAGTCCTGTGATAACCTGGATGTCACTTGGTAAACAGGTCTGTGTGCTTTCTGCACTGAGGTTGGCTTCATTGATTTCTCCCACCTGTTTTGTATGAAGCACTGGTCAAAGTCCATGCTATATTTAGCACAAATCAGGCAGGCTTAAAGTTAGAAAGCATTCTGTTCAATTGCCTGCTTTCCACCAATGGACATTTGTGATATGTGCCTCCTAAAACTTCTTAATGTACCTGATAACATAGCCACATTAGCTTAAAATTATTATTCTAGGTAAAGGCATAAATAGAGTCACTACATCAGCAATAATATACTCACATTGAGTTAATAGAACTACCAAATAACTTCATATTTAATAAAATATAGAAAACAATTTTATGACAAGAGCCTCTCGTCTCCATCCAAGAAGACTACTTCCCTATGCAGTAGCTGATTTTGTCACATATTGATATTCAATCCATTAATCTTCAAGATATCAGAGACGTATGCAACAAAAAACAATGGACCTAATGGTAAGCTACTGTGATGCATTCTGTAGTTGCCCACTTCATATTCTACTGTAAATGTACAGGTGTTTTTTCTTGATGACATGTTAGTTTATTCTGTCTTGGTAAAAGAAAGATATGCTGGTTAAGGTTGGAATGAAATCTTCACCGGATATACTGTACATATTAATAGCTGTAGTATTGGAGAGTTAGTTAATGCTCCTAAAAATAATATCATTGCGTGTGACCAATGTCAGAAAAATAAATGTATTTTTGTTCCCCAAAAGTAAAAAGTGACTCTAAGAAACAATGACCGTGGTAATGAGTTCTTGTGTTTTTTTTAATATGCTGTATTAAAAAATGTGCTGTATTTAATGTGCTGTAGTTGGACAACATCAGGATACAGAGAACAAAGTAATTACAGTAAAATCAATGTACACGAATGTTAGCAAGTGAATTTAAATATCCTTTTTTAAATGTTTTGGTTTTCAGAACAACATATCTGCATTTTCCCAGATGGAATGGAACACTGGTGAAAGGCCACTATGTTGCTGCAATTCCTGAGTTTTGTTCCTCCCCAATAAATCAATTGCCTTATCAGGAGAAGAGCTCTGTGCTAGGCACGACTGAGATTAAAAAAGGGATACTTTACTGCTTTGTCTCTGATTCAGAGCCTTCCTTCTGGGATGATGGCTGTTTGCATTAGCTCACTTTTATTGACTATACCATCAGGAAATGGTAATCTGATTATGAATGGCATTCAGTCAGGAGTGCCCAGCAGGAGAATTGGCGCCAGGAGTTGTGCGTTAATCCACAGGTGCAGCATTGTTGGAAAACCAAGGGAGGGGACAAGAGAATAATTCTTTATTTCTGTTGGTCTCACTCTTCACCCACTGAACCTCCTAAAACGTTCCGAAGACAGCAATGATTTTATGCCCAAAATGTGCATAATGTAATTGCATTAATAACTATGCTGAAAAGAGAAGAAAGAAAACACAACGTTTCGGCTGTGGAGCCTTCTTCGAGTGTCACACCCAAGTGAGGCTCCACAGTTGAAACGTTGTGTTTTCTTTCTTCTCTTTTCAGCGTGGAATAAACCTATCACTTGTTCCTTTGCAGCCTACGCATGGTGACGCAGCTGCCCACCTGAACTACTTCAATAACTGCTTCACACTCAACCTTGATGCAGTTTTTTTAATGGAGTTTTCATTTTTAAAATACAAAAGAAAAAGAATATACAAAAAGAAAGAAAGATCCCACACTAAGAGAAAATAGTAAGCAGGCCAATGTGCCATGTTTTTCAGACAAGCAAAATCATCTGAACGTGCTGTCTTAGTTCTTCAATTAGAAACAAGTAATCTGGCTGTAATCTAGTAACCTTACAGTACATCTTACAATAAGCCCGTTTCTCTGAACAAAAATCTAACAGTGGTTCTTTCAAATGAAACCCATTCACCAAGACGTTTCACACCAAGGATGAGATCTAAAATTCAACTGCCATGTAAGAACTGTGCTGTACTTCTCTTTCATTTTGAAAAAGACGCTCTGCTGGTTAGTACATCACACCAGTCAAGTGTGATTATTAATACAACACTCCTTAAAACTCCTTAGTGTATAAAGGTACGAGTTTTTAGAAAAACAAATTGCTTGGAGGTCTCAGACTCAGTCAAGGGAAATGATGACGCAACCTTAATTTCTGCTGATTAGTTAAGCAGTTGAAAAATACAAATGACCTTCAGTTCAGTGTCTATTCCTGACCCAGATATAATATCTGCAAAATACACGTCTATTAGTAATCAATGCCCTTTGTGGTTTGTATACTGGACTGCCTATACCAAGGTTCTGAACAGTTTGTTTCACACATATATTGTACTGAATGTGTTGATATATGCTGTTCACAGAATGACTTGCATTGAACAGGGATGGAGGTACAAGCTTATTTTAAATTTACAAAATTGCAGCAATGATTTTTATTTTTGGCCTTGCATATGGGCAGAAACAAGATGAATAAAAATAATGTATTTTATCAGATTAAAACGGGGGAGTTGTCAGTACCGAATATTATATAGTATAGCATTATTATTAACCTAATATAATTATTCTCATAACAAACTATATTTAGAATTTTCACTTCAGAATTTCCTGTTTTTCCTACAAAACACGTCGTTTGGTGTTCTATTATACAATTATAAATCCTTATAAATTTCTTACATGTTGTTAAGCTTTCAGAAGTAATCCATCTATCCATTTCAGGGTGATTCTTTTTCCTATTGATTGTTCTGTACATCGCGAATATCTTGCATTTTCAACAGTATCACTTATGCATTGTAGCTCTTCAAAACGTCTACCTATCCCCTTGGGTTGAAGTCAATGGATGTGACGTACTGAAGTCTCCTATTCTTGACACCAAAATCTCTATCGCTCCGTATTTTATACTCGGAGGAAAACAGTTCCAGTTTTAAGTTCGTATTCAGCACCTTTTAAGGTTGCCGAAAAGGGTTTGAAATGAATAATTTCGCATCTGCGATAGGCGATATACTACTCAAGGACGCATCAGACAGCTCTTTACATGCATAATATCTTAACTGTTTGTACTGGCTGGCTTCCAGCTCATTAGGTGTTAGCTGGCAGCGATAGTGGCCATATACTGTCTGCTTGATTACTCCCACAGTCCTTGGTAGCTTGGTACAGGCTGGGTTAATGGCTGAAGTAAATAAGATAAGTGACCTACTCCCAACCACCCCAACGTCGCCTTGTACCATCAACCCGCCGATCTTCATTGAGAAAACCTTATCTTCTCCACGTGGAGCGAACCTACCTGAGCCAAGCAGTCCAGGGTCATGTTGTTTTTCAGTGAGCAAATGTTATTCAGCTAGGGTCAAGGCTGGCTTGCTGTACCTTAGGGGGAAGCCTCTATAAATAGGTCTGGGACAGCAGAGCTGGAGACAGGCGTACGCACGGCGGACAGAGCTTTTCTGATCCAAAGCATTTAAGTAGCTGCGCGGCCAAGTGGTACAGCGCGCAAGGGCGATTTACAGGCTACCTGCGCGTTCACCGTACCAAATTCTTTTAAGCCTCGTTTAGTTGAAAAGATTAAGTAAACGATGTCTTGCCTCGAAGAGCCCAGCGACAGATGCCAGTGTTCCGGCTTCAGTGTTCGGCAGTCCAACGCCATCCTTTACAATATTCTGAGCCGCAAGGACAGCGACCACCTCGCCCACAGCTACATCACGTCTCCGCACAGCTGCCACTGCGAGATGCGGCGGACTGTTGGCCTCAAGAACCCGGACGAGACGTGCCAGGTAGCTTCCGGCGTGCTGGTCAAAACGATCCACTTCATGAAGAACCTGCCTTCCTTCTACCAGCTCCCACTCAAGGACCAGCTGGCTCTGCTGCAGAGCGGCTGGGCGCCGCTGTTCATCCTGGGGCTGGCGCAGGAAGGGGTGGCCTTCGACGTGACGGACACGCCGGCCGCCAGTTTGCTGAAGAGAATCCTGCTCAAGGACCAGGACCAGGACCAAACCCGGCTGGAGCACTCGGACAGGGCGCAGCCCACGCTGGACGCCGTACAGAAGCTGAAGTCTTGCGTCAATAAGTTCTGGAGCCTGGATATGAGTCCAAAAGAATACGCCTATTTGAAAGGAGCGATTCTTTTTAACCCCGGTAAGTATACTAGCGAATTATTATCACCGTGCTTATTGATCTTCTTGTACCAACGGGTTAAATAAAGTAATAAGTGTCAATTCCCGAATAGTTTTCTCACATAATTGTTGGTAGATGGATTAGTTAGTAAGGAATCCACACTAAGTATTTTAATTGGAATGTATGAGTGGATGAATGTCCTGCTTATTAATGTCTTTTAACGGACAAAATAGCTTGTTGACATGGCTTAAGAAAAGGCTGTTTCGAAAATTATACATTGATGGACATTGGCCCAAATTTTCATCCTTCGTTTACTACTATAAATCTTCTGCCCAAAAGAGTCCCATTTCCCCCCCCAAAAAAGGAAATTCTACCTAATTAGGTCTACAAGCCACATTCATTACTTGTCCACTGGGATAAAGTGCAGAATTAGCTAATTTCTCTTGAAGGGGGGAAAGTTAAAATAGGAAATAAAAAATGAGTATGGTAAAGTGGCACAGAATTACTTCGCAAGAATCGGACCAACGCGTTTGAAGTCGTTGTTTCCAAGCTGTCAAAAAGGCCACCGTTTCCTGAACACAATTCGTCAGGCAGCCCCCAGCGGGGAAAGTCGGTTATGAAGGGGTTTGTACCACATTTTCAAACTGCTGACACTGTGGGTATTACGGCACACGTCCGTAACGGGTGTTGGCATCATTTGCCATTACTTGCTCGCAAAAGGATAAACTACACATGTAAAACCTTCTGTTTCATACGTGTAGTAGTTAGGAGAAACACTTAATAGAGTTGATTGGTTTTCCCCCGCTTCGGGAGAGAGATTAGTGCGTTCTCGGTGGTATCTAACCAGCACAGTTTTGCAACCCCATAATTCGAATTAAGGCTGACTGCGTGTAGACGTTTAAAAACGCCTTCAATTCGGTTATTTTTTTCAGATGTCCCGGGCTTGAAAGCGTCTCTGTTCATCGAGAGCATGCAGCAGGAGGCCCAGAGAGCTCTTCGCGAGGTGCTGCTCCCTCTCCACCCGGGAGACCGCGGCCGCTTCGCCCGCATCCTCCTCACCGCCTCCGCGCTCAAGACCATCACGCCGAGCCTCATCACCGAGCTCTTTTTCAGACCTGTCATCGGCCAGGCGGACCTCTTAGAACTACTCGCCGAAATGCTTTTCGCCCGATAAACGAGGATACAGGAGCTCAGGTTGCTTAAACTTAACAACACCCGTCGCGGAGCCGCTGATTTGAGGGGACAGTGTTACAGAGAGCTTGGTGCACTCTACCTGGGAACACGCACGTCATGTCCTGCTATTAAAACTGTCATGTTATGGTCTAAAACTTGGGCAAAAAGGTCCGCTAAAATCATGCGAAGTGAGCAAAGAGACATTCTCGCCTTGCGAGTTTCAAACGGCGACGATACGCAGAAAATCGTTTGAGAGGAACAGCCTGGCTGTATTACAGAGGGGACTCACTACTCGATCAGTTTCGGTGTGTGAATTTGGCGTATCTCTCATACGCTGTGCCAAGCTTTCGATGTTATGATTTAGATATAGATCTTTCAGCTGAAAGGGCAAACCTGGTTTTGTTGGCTTAACAGAATCTTCTTGGAGAAAAACGTCACTTTATTGATCCGAATCACTATTTTATGTTTTTTTTTAAAAAACTCCTTTAACACGTCCGTAAAAAATCCGTGTGCATGAGTGTATGTGAATAAATTATATATTTTTTAAAAAAAGTTTCTGTAACACGTCATGAAAAACGTGTTTAATAAAAATGTGTTGATACCCCTTTGTCTTTTTATAGCGGCAAAAAAAAAAAAGTGAACACGGCCGATTCAAAAGAGTCGGATTGGAGAACCATACAAAATCTGGACTAAAGCGAAATTTGAATGAGCCCGAAAGAAAAATGCGATGACTTATCTGAACAACCTCTCTCTACCTGTCGAGGAATTCAATTTCCGCCGTGAACGGTCGTTTCGAATAAATCAAGGGTGGTGATGCGATTTCACACCCCGCCGTTCAGTATCCGGAAGGTTTTGGTTCAACAATGCCACCAAAACAGATGATTTTTTTTAGAAATATCGCGGTATAGACTATTTCTGGCGAGTATGATGATTTGTACTGTTGACTTTGAGGGTGATGGGAGAGGCCCATTGCCAGAGACGGCTCTTGGGCAATACCACCGCAACCAAGCAAGGCGCGGGGCTGGGCCCGTAGATACCGGTTCCTTGTGCTTGTCGCCTGGTGACAGGAAGTCCTCTGCCCCGGTGTTCCGCGCAGTAAAGCAGAGGTCAATGACACGCAGGTTAAGGAGCAGGTTCAGGTACGCTCCTTCTCCTCCCTCTGTAAGGCGGGCGTTTGTGTGCGATTCCTTGCCGTCACCGTCGGAGCTCCAAGTGCGGGGGGTTTGGGGGAGAAAAACAGAATGTAGAGCGGGATTTGAGCTGGGGAAAGACTTCTCCATCTCTTAGATAACATTCATCTGTCATGCGGTGTATCTGGGCAGCAAAGGAAGAAGTAAAAAGTTGAAAGACGAAACGCGGCGTTTGGGCTGTCGAGAATTCTTCAGGTGTGTGCGTGTGCGGGAGAGAGTTTTTAGAAATATGCGGGGAATTAAGTTTGACTCGTTCCCTCTGTAGCGTACACACGCTGACGCCACTGCCCATCGGCCCATCTGAGCAAAAAAAAAATACGTTACAGGGCCAGCGTAATTAATACATGATGGGCTACGTCAGTGAAACAAGGTTTTATTACCTCCAATAAAAACGATACATTGCTAAGATCCGAGAGTCCAAGTAAACAACGGTAACCTTCCCCCGGACAGACAGGGCGGCGGTTCAATATGCGCTGCTCTCCCTTAAATCGTCATCAAATAACAATAAACCAATTTACACTTCAGTGCTACAGTAATATAGGCAGTTTTTTTTTTATCAGTGCTCGATGCTGAATGCTCGATTCATACATGCATTTATAAGACCAAGGCTTGATTTCTGCAGCTCTTTACTCTATGGGCTCCCTCACACTCTCCTCAGTCAATTCCAATGTGTCCAACACCCTACAGCTGGACTTGTAACCCACACCAGACCCTGGCAGCACGTCACTCCTACACGTGAGTCTCTACAGGGGTTGCCAGTAAAGTCACGTATTCAATATAAGATCTGGTTAGTGACCCTTAAAGCTCTTAATAACCCGCCTCCCTCCCATGTCTCTGAACTGCTCCATGTTTACACGCTCTCCTGTAGGATCGTCAGCTGAGGCCCGTCCTTTGATCACTGGATCGGGGACTAAATCTCGGACTTATGGTGACCGTGCTCTTCCACCGCCTCTTCCAGACAAACTTAAGTCCTTGACACTTATTTTGCTGGTTTAAACTCACCTTTTCACTCGAGCCTATATCTTGTTTCATTGTTTTTAACTTTGTATTGTATCCCCCCACACACACACACAATGTACAGCGCCCTTGGGTTTGGAAAGGCGCATTTTAAAATAAAACACAAGAGAGAAAACGACGCTTCGGCTGTGAAGCTTTCTTCAGCTGTGAGGTCTTACATCTGAAGAAGGCTTCACGGCCGAAACGTGTTTTCTCTCTTCTCTTTTCAGCATGGAATAAACCTATTACTTGTTCCTTTGCAGACTACGCATGCTGACACAGCTGCCCACCTGAACTACTTAGAAAATAAAAGTTGTTGTTGTTGTTATCATTATAATCGCATGCGGTTATCTAAAAGCACGTTTTTCATATTGTCAACTATTCGAACGGAATGGAACATCATTCCGGATGTTCTTCTCTTTGAATTTCTGCAAATGCGTTACATAACCAGATTATTCCCTTCCAAGTGATTTAAATCTTTTTTTTCGATAGCGCCCCTTTAATAAAACCTCTTCAGTTAAAAAGAGGGAGAGCAGACAGCAGCACATATTAGCACTAGTCATTTCTGTCCGACCGAAGAAACCCAATATTAAAGGGCATTAATATTGCATTTGCGCAATATTAAAGGGCAAATTGAACAGAACACTTTCTGTTCAATTTGCCCTTTAATATTGCGCAAATGCAATATTAATAAAATGTTATAATGTTTACGTATTCCCTGGCATTTGGAACTCACAAGCAGTCACTCAACGTAATGAAAGGAGTCACGTGTACAGTATCATAACGTTAGAGATCCGTATACGAGCCCGATTGATGAGCAATCTAGCTGTACGCTGTCGCCCCCTAGTGGTAGAATATAAAATGACGTTTAACTCCGTCCCACGTAAAAACTAAAAAAAAGGAGCCGAGAAATAATTTTCTAATTAATATTTTAATTAAAAATATGTTCAGTGGCGTATGCAAAAGGTGTCATGTCTGAAAGACTACCGCCCGGTGCCACTCACCTCAGTAGTCATGAAGTGCGTGGAGAAACTGGCGATGGGACACATCAACAGTATTGTCCCGGACCCCATGGACCCCCCTGCAGTTTGCATATAGGATTAATAGGTCAGTGGACGAAGCTGTCTGGCCCTTCACACCACTCTTGAGCACCGGGACAAGAGGAACACCTGTGCCAGGATGTTATGTATTGACTGCGGCTCAGCCTTCAACACAATCGCAAGCTCAGGGGTCTGGGCCGCAGCAACTCCATCGGCTGTATTCTCCATTGACACATGACTGTGTGGCCAGATTGAACAGCAAACGCATCATCAAGTGACACCACAGTAATCGGTCTTATTAGCAACAATGATGAAACCGCCTACAGGAGCGAGGGAGCAGAGCTGGTGGACTGGTGCCAGAACAACCACCTCACACGTCACATCGGCAAAACAAAAGAGATTGTAGTGGACGTCAGGAGGCAGGGAGGACGTCACACACCCCTCATCATTCACGGAGCTCCAGTGGAAACTGTCAGCACCTTCAGGTTCCTCGGCCTCCAGATCACTGAGGGGCTGAGCTGGCCGGAGACCACTGCCGCCATCCTCACTAAAGCCCACCAGCGCCTTCGCCTCCTGACACAGTCAAGGAAGTGTGAGGGGAGAGCAAGACAACACGTGTAGTTTTTTTCCGCGATCCGATTGAGAGGGCCCTGCCCGGTGGTATTACGGTGTGGTATAGTGGACACAGGACAGGAAAGAAAAGCCTTACAGGGGGTCGCGAGGTCCGCGCAGAAAATCACTGGGACCGAGCTACCCTCCGTCGACCGGATATATCTCGACCGCTGCCACAACCAGGCTCGAGCTATGCTCCGGGCCCCAGTCCACCCGGGCCACGGTCTGTTTTCACCCCCGGGAGCCGGTAGGAGGGGTCGCAGTATCGGAACACAGACGAACAGGTTCACAGTTTCTTCCCCCATGCAGTCCGCATCTTAAACAGCTCAAATGAGCACCTGCACTTTAAGGTCCTGCACTGTTGGCACTATATCCTGTCTTGGCTGTATTATATCGTCTATTGTCTAATTTATTATCCATGTCTGTTTGGCATTTGTGCCTACAGTATATCTGTTTCTCTAAAGTTACTGGGTACAGCTGAACGAGTAAGCATTCCAATACACTTGTTGTTTATGGCAAATAAGGAAATCTTGAATCTTGCTTTGCTATTTTTAGTATAGAATTGGCCGCAGGTCAGGGAACTGCTCCAGCCAAGCGTGAATTTGTATTTGAAGGATATAAAATATAAAAACATTTAACTACTAATTGGTATTACTATAATTACTAACGAGGGTGCACACATCGTACACAATTTTCGGTTGTATCACACCGCATTGTGGGCAGATGCTGCCGGGAGATCGTGTAGCTACTTTTTTGGAACTGTTTAAACGGATAATTGCTTGCCAGTACCGGAAACCGCGAAGCAGCCTAATTAAACAAGTAGGTTTATTCCATGCTGAAAAAAAGAAAGAAAACACTGTTTCTTGTGGAGCAAGGCTCCACGGCCGAAACTTTTGTGTTTTATTTCTTATTTTTTTTTCCAGCATGGGATAAACCTATTACTTGTTCCTTTGCAGCCTATGCATGGTGAGACAGCTCCCCACCTGAACTAATTAAACAAGTATTCCGCTTTGAAAGATGGCCCCCGTCACAGGGAGTATCACACCCCGTGGTGTGCGCGCACGCGTGCCTCTCTGGCGAGCAGGTCGTGTGCCCGAGGTTTAAATCCCAGCCACCGGGGAACGCGCGCATGTGAACAATAGGTCTTTAAAACAAACCAACCCGACAGGTCGGACCTGAATTCTGTAAGACCTTCAGGTTAGATATTTGAGACCTGCTCAAACCCCCGGGGGTCCCTCTGAGGAGCAGGGCTGCTTGCCACAGAGCGTGTTCTTTGACATGCCCTGTTTTTCTGGTCTCAGAGCTGATTTAGGATTTCAGCATGACCAAACAAGCAGCCTGATTAATGCAGGCCTCTCCTCTAACGGATCGGGAAAACCTTGTAAAAGGCCTAGAAAGAAGTTAAGAGACAAGTCCCCTTTTTAGAAATAGTTACTCGGCGTACTGACTGGTTTAATCATTCCTCAGACGTATTCATTTCCTGCAGATTTAAGTGTGATTTTGTTATGTCAGAGGTTCCAGGAGTGTCAGGATATTGCCTGCTAACTTGTCATCTATTATCAGAAAGCTACAAAGTTCCTGGTAAGGGTCACAGGGCCCAGAGTTCATCAGAAGATAAACACAAACAATTGACACCCACTCTTGAATCACACCAGCATGTCTTAGGAAGGTGGGAGGAACTAGAGCACCTGGCAGAAACGCAGCATGAACATAAGAACAGTTACAAATGAGGAGGCCAACTGACCTCTCTAATCTCCTCACTACTTAGTAACATAGTGATCCAAGGATCTCATCCTGCTTTTCTAGAAGGAGGCCAGTGTATCAACTTCAGGAATAAGAGTGGGCTGCTTGTTCCACACCACCACAACCCTTGGCGTAGATAAGCGTTTGTTCTGAGTTTTAAATGCACTTCCTCAGTTTCCACTTGTGTTCTGTGGTTCACGCTGCACTGTGCTTTATAAAGACTGCTGGGGTGACTATATCAGTGCCTTTACTGATTGTGAATACTGATTTTAAAGCTCTTGTCTTCTCTGTTCAAGATTAAAAAAAGGATCAGTTCTTCCAGACAGTCACTGGAGGACATGAAAGTCCAGGAATTTATATTACTGCACTTCTGCAGATGGATTCCAGAGCAGAAACGAGAGACTATAATTGGACATCACATTTTAAATGAGGCCTTACTCGTGCATAATACAGTTTTTACATAAAAGCCTTAGATCTACATTCTACACTGCTGACTGTACCTCCTAACAATATATCCTGACAACATGCAAACTCCACACAGATAGGATCAATCCCCAAGAGCTGTGGTGCACCAGCACGGCCTGCCTTGCATTCTCCATATACTGCAGTTGTACTAGAAAGACAAGTCCTACCTCAGGGCTGCTCAGCATGCATCCCTTATCTCCTCCACTGGAGAATTCGAGAACAGAAAACGTCCCACTAACCCAAAAAGCATATTCCACACACCAGATAAGAACAGGTACCGGGAACCTTTATTCCTAATAGTGTTCCTACAGGGTGGAAAGCTTTTAGAGACAGAAATGGATTTTATTTCCATTCTTTTGTCCAAACCAGACCAACGGGTTCTCCCTAAAGCAGCTGGAGGAAAAATGAGTCATCATTCACCAGGCGAGAGCAGAACAAGTGCATTTTATTTATACCCACTTCTATTTCACCACTGCATCAGGATGATTTTCAGGGATATGGAACTAGGAGTGGGGTTTCTATCAGGTTACGCCTCAGTTTTGTGTTCAGTCATCTCTTGGCTCAAAGCACTGCATATAAACGATACTTTCTTAATAAGGGCATTATATTACATCATGACAATGTCAAGTATTCCATTTGTATTCCATTAAAAAAAAATAACAGATGAGTAAAGATCTTTCATTTTCAGTATTTTTTTTGGACAGATCTCTTTGCCAATCGGGTCATCACAATATCAAATTACCAATGAAGAAAAAACTTTACAGTGGTTGCTTCCAAGTTCTCATTCCAAGACCTAACAAGAAATTGACACTTTTTTTCAGCACTCTTATCTATCACAGCATCTGTAGTTAAGCCTCACTGGTAGAAAAAGTGGTTTAAAAGACAAAAATAAACCCACACGTGGCATAATCTTTGTTTCCTCTGTGTGTGGGTTTCTCCAATGGCTCTAGCTTCCTCCCACAGGTCAAAGACATGCGGGCTGGGTTAACAGGCGTCTCACCCCTCCCCCCAGCAGGTGTCGATGCATTGCAATGAACCGGTGTCCTACCCCCAGTGTCGTTCCCAGTGCCAGCCAGGCTGGATTCCAGCTTACTCCAATCCTCAAGAAATAGAGTGGGCACAGCAAACAGATGCAGGAGGATTCTTGGATAGATTATTACCGTTTTTTCTTAGTATTCATTTCTGAAAACGAAACTCTCCTGCAATGACACGAACAACCAAACGACCCCTGTATGCACGGATAAAGCACAGCTGGACTATGACAAGGGGAGTCTGAGAATCTTCCATTTGGTTTCAGGGTTTTTCCAAGCCAGTCTCCTGTCCTCAGAATGGTTCCAGTCAAGAGGAGAGCATTTGGCGCATCTATCTTATTTAGTAGCTGGTAGCTCATTATTCGGACGATCTCATCGGCCGTTCCTGGAAAGGAGCCAGAGTATGGGCTTCAGCAACATGGCTAGGCAGCTTGTTCCAGACCCTCACAACCCTATGGGGCTGAAAGACAGAGTTCTTGCTCTTGATATTGAATGCACTTTCCTGCATTCCTTCCCCTCTTATGCCCTGTGGCTTTTCTCTCTCTCACCGTTTACAACTGTCTAACATTCACTGTAGAAACTGTCAAATAAAAGCAGAAAAACAAGAGGAAAATTTGAAGACCTGAGATTCTTTTTTACTAACCTCGAGGCAGGGGTGTCTAACCCTGATCCTGGAGAGTCCCTGTGCAGCAGGTTTTACAGGTTAACTCTCAACCACCAAGTTAGACTTGGAACAAACTCGAAGGACTTCATAGTGATCAACTAAAGCAATGAATTGATCAAAAAAGACAAAGTGGTGATCACATGGGAACAGAGACTGCGTACATCTCAAGGTGGAGGATATCTTGGTAGTAGGGCAGGCTATTGTCAGTCGGCCCGTCAGTACAGGACAACAGGGGAGGGGGAGGAGGGTCTCTATGGCCTATAAATAGGTGCACTGGTAATTAGTTCATGAGATTACTGGTAAGGGGTTGCGAATCTATACTCTCACATGTGTGGGTATGTAAAGGGCTTTTGCAGTGTTGGTCAATGATTGGATGCTGGTAGGGGTTTGGAGAGGATGAGAGTCCTTTTGTTATTAAACCTGCAAAATCTCTGCAACCAAGCCTCCTGCACTGCACAGTTGTTGCAGTTGTGACTTTTCGTGTGCCAACATCTCCGGGTGGGGTCCAACAAGATCAGCAATAACATCACAGGTCTTCTTCTTTAGAAAGAGGTGATCAGTAAGGCTGGCTTGGGTTGGAGACTCCTGACCAAATTGCCAGTGAAAAACTGTCCAGGCATGGTTTTTCTTCCGCCCTCTCATTAGGAATCCTGTCTTTTTCAGCGCTCGATGTTACCAACCCTAAGTATAAGGCAGGGCTTACAGATTGGGCAACAATCTATGCTTTGCGCACATCTTCATATTTACAGTGCATGCGTGACCAACTTCAGCCACTACCTTAGCAGTGGCTACGTCAGGCACTCATTTCTGCTCTCCGCTAGAACTGAAGACTCGCTTCCCACTTCATGAGCATGATTGCCTCTCCTGTACAACAGGACAAAAGGACAAAAGCACTTCACCAAGAACCTGCTAATTTCATAAACGACATTCTGAAACCCCCCAGTGTCCATGTACTGCATTTTTCAGAGCCCTGAGCTCCTGCAATTCCTTTCAGGGCAGACACCTCTGAGCAAAGTCCGGTCTCTGTAAAGGTCAGAGGAAGGGCAGGAGTCTGTCTGGCGGCCAGCCAATGCTGGAGCTGCAAAGATCCCGCCGTGGTCGACCGCAGCTGTGAGCCGCCGCCGTGACCGGAATAGATCTGCCCTGTCGGAGAACGGGCCGGGGCTCTCGGGACGTTTCTCCACACGCTTTCCTCAAGTACGGATGCAAAGCACGGACTTGTGCCACTTGATCAAAATAAAGCAAAGGGCATCACAAAAATTGAAACTTTTTTTTTTAATTTTAGTATAAAAATCACTTTAAAAAATAACACATGGGGAATAAAAAGACCACAAGATCACCTGGCTTATTTACACTAGACTCGAGCAAAGGGCATGCCTGACATTCAGCAAAGATATTCCATTAACGGCATACTTAGTCACTGCCATTAAGAGAAGAAACAAGCCCGGTGTGGCTTGTTGCTGAAAGAGATGAGCATCACAGCAATTGACAGTATATAACACTGGTTCCTAAAATCTTATTGCCTAAGAAAAATAATATACCTATAGTATTCTCTCTCTGAGACATGACTTTCATCTTCAGAACATGCACCTTTTCTACTCTGGAAACCTGTTCTAAACGAATTGTGAAGAAGCAAATGCAGCCGTGTTGAAAAGTGCTTTTCTTCTCGGAGCTTAAAAATTAAGATTAGTACAATCCACAAGCAACTCGGTCACCTACATGTTGTGGTAAAAGCCCTCCTTTCGAGTGCATTCAGACTGTTAACAACCGCAAGAGCGGCAGTGACAAGTGTGCCTCAGAACCAGCAGTGCCTGAAGATCACCTCTCAAGTCCTTCAACGACAATCTCCATATGCACTGTGTACTGCACAATACACACGCAACACTGAAGACAAAAGAAAAGTGCTAACAGTCATGTAAAATGACGCGTTTGTCGAGATATCCCCCCCTTTAAGCACATAAAAATTAACTGGACAGAGATTGGACAAAATCCAATGCAATGTTAAAAAAGCTTTAAAGTTGGGCTTTAGGCAGACTGGGGCAGTCACTTGTTTGCTTTGTCTTTGCTCTATACACACCCAGAGAGAGAGAGAATGTAACCCCCAAACAAAAAAAGGCACAGAATAAAATAAACAATATAAAATACACCGTTTAGTTACAATGAAATCCTCTACAGATTTTCAAACTACCCGTCTTTGACCGGAAATAGAACTGCATCAGCAAGTTCTCTCTCTACACGGTCATTCATGGACAGATTCTATACCTTATACATAGACATGAAGGCAGAAAGGTGTGCAAACAACTTCCACAGAAGCTCAGATTGTGACTGCCTTGCAAAGCGCTGAGAACTACACTTCCAGTAATTCACCACCATACCCCTCAAGCACTGATCCCATGTTGTGGCAAACTGCACTACTCTGATAGAGACACTCCCTCTCATTCCTGTGACTTTATAAAAGAGGTGGAACAATGGAAACTAAAGCCAATATCAGAAACCTGACACTTCCTCTTATTTATTTCTAGCAACACCGAGAGGCCCAGAAGAACAAACGGAAAAAAGAAAACTACCAGTATTGCCCACAGAGATAAGTTTTCCCCTTTCCAGAAACATGTCCAGGCATCGGCAATGCCTCTGGGTCCAAAAGCAGTGGGTTAAAATGAATACAGGTTAACTAGGCAAAGATCCGTGCCTCAGTTTGCATCTGCAGTCCCTTGAGAGTGCTTGGGCTCCTTATTTTGGCAATGCCTCAAGTCACAAATTTGCTTTAAAGGAGTACAAATATTACTCTACCTGAGAACCATTCCAAATGTTCCTCATTCTTGGTTTTAGGAGTGAGCATGTTCACATCCTCCTTTCTTGAAAAACACCACCCTCCCTCCCTCGTACCACGTACAATCAGATATGCTGTGGGGCAAAACTCCAGGAGAAAGCCAGGTCTGCCTCTGGACTTTGGCCAAGGTAGAGAAATGACTGACTCATTCATGCTGTCCAAGAAATAGCCACATGAGGGTCTGGTATGGTGATGCAATGGTAAGTGGCTTACTTAGTGGGCCGCGTGAGAATCTCTCTCCCACAATTTTAAAATGTTAGTTCTTGAGTCTTCCTTTCTCTGAAGGCACAGGCACATTCATATTCATAGGGCTCAAATGTCACGCACATACCCAAGTGTTTTCACTGCTGAAAAGCTGTAAAATGCAACAGAAGGCTTGGACACCACAGCAAACACCAGCACAAATTGTCTCCTGGCTCAGAAACGTTTTGCACATCACATACCCACCTGAACTTTGCTGAAAACGGACATTGGTTTTACAAGGTAACGGATTCCAGGGAGTCCAATAAAATCACTCGGGGAATTGTGTATTTTAAAACAGGTGGCATTCCTGCCTGCAGATTCTATGTATCCTAAGGCAGTCCAGGTTCTCTTGAGGAGAGTGGAAAGTTGCATTTTCTTTACGAGAAGCTGAGAGTTTCCTCCCATCGGGAGGGGTGCAGCCTCATTCCCTCCTCCCCCATTGCAGCGTCTGTGGCTCTAAACAGTCTCGGCAGTGTCCAAGGAAAGGGGTTCCGGTGAAAAGGACCCTCGCTCCCCGCATGTTTCACGTGCGGAAGTATTTATCCAGCAGAGGGGTCCCAGAGGAGTTCGTCTCGGCGTCTGGGAAAGAGGCGTAGTTCCCTGTCGGACAGTTTGAGGAGTAACCTGTGACACAGGGAAGGCAGTCAGCCACAACATCACACAACAGCAAGTGATCACCACGGTGTGATGGAAAAAAGGCATTAAAGGCTACTTTAAAGAACTAAAAGAAGTACAAAAAGAGGCATGCTTATACAGTGCTTGAGATGAATGATCAGAGCATGGGAGAAAGAGACTGCTCTGACAGGTGGCAAAATGTACACAAGACTAGTTTGACCTTGAACCGCAGCAATGGCCAATTACAATTTCAGATCCCGCTGCGGAGACAGCTGTCGGACCTGTGTGGCTTTCAATCTGGGTACTGGAGACCCCCAAGCCTGATGGTTCTCAATTCATCTGTGTTCTTTCCTAAACACACGTTTGGGACCTGAACATTTGTGAAGAGTTCAAATTAAACGGATCATCACGTCTGATAAGGGCTCAGTAATTTAATTGGGTGCTCAGGTGGAACGAAAGTTGGGGGGTGTGGGGGTGCTCCAGAACCAGGCCTGGGAACCCCACCCCTGCCCTGATGGATGTTCAGACATCACTGGTTAGCTAGGTTGCTACAGAGCATTGCTGTTGTAAAAAAAAGAAATTAAAGAAAACTACAGAAACCTATTAGCACCACTTTAATGAGATAAGATTGCATTGAAATGCAATATCTTGTAAACTACTTCCTGATATGGCAAAATATTAGTATATTTCCTTGGGACAACATTATTGCATAGTACCATTTTCATTAACAAAAGAGGAATATTGTCCTGTTAGTACACATGCTCCTTAATGCTAATTAATTTGCAGTCTTCGGTAAAATATATGTGAAATATATAACATGCAGTCATTAAGCATTCCTGGGTTAAACGCATCATCTTCGCCATTTTTGTGAAAAGCAGAAAAGACAGCTCTACAAATGTATGATATTCTTGACGTGAAAATGCAAAAATGGTGTAGATAGGGTGTCGTCTACATATTGTTACATGACTTCATGTAACACTAAGTCTTATACCTGCTGTTAGTTTATTGTTACTGCTGGTCAATTCGTGAATAATTAAAACAATTACAGGACAGCACTGTCTGGCCAACAGTAATGGTTTTATGAAGTGAGTCCTGTTGGCGGCAATGTGTTAGCAGCAGTATCTCCTGATAACCATAGTTATCAGATGGTGGGGAAAATGTGCTCAGGGTTGTAACTTTAGTAAATCAGTATCAATGCAGCTTGCAGAGTGGAATGCAGCAGATAGGACTTAAAGCAAGCAAATTGATTTATGCTCCTTTTGAGTGTCTCAGAAAGTGACCAGGATGGGCAAAAACACAAAGGCAGGCCAATTACTAAACAGGGATCAATACATTAAAAAACAGATTGCAGTCTAAGTTTAAAGTACTGATATATATCATATATACATGATATAATGACTCAGCAATTTCAGTTTTCCACCCAGTTTCTAACACCATAGCTAATCAAATTCCCAGAAGTTGCTTGCATAAAAAGTTAAACTCTACTATTCATTTTATTTTGTTTACCTATGCAGAGATAAGCGCTGAAAAAATTCACCAACATACTCTGATAATTTTAAACAAAAGCTACTTCCTTCGAAATGGGAGCAACACATTAACATACAAGGAACTCCTCAGGAAAATTATATTGGCAAGGAATCAAAACCTCAAATAGGATGTCATTTAAACCTGACAGCTCACCAGGACAGGTATAGACTGCTAGGGAAACAGAGGTGTGCCTACCGAGCAGATCCCACAGAAAGCCACTCAGTTCAGCCAACTGCCTTTTCGTTTGCCATTTCTTTCACAGATCGTTTAATGATAACGAATTGCATTTATATTGCACTTTTCGTCTCGCCATGCTTTACATCGAGGGGAGAGACCCGAAACATCCATCAGTGAAATGTGATTTTTCCAGCACATCAGGCACAGAGGTGAGACACTGCCTCATCAGTTTCACTAAAGGGGGACCCATCCCAGGGTAGAAGTTAGCCAGGAAACTGTTCCCCCACTCCTGGGAGCTGTGCAATGGCATCTACGGTGATGTGAAAAAGAAAGCCCACCCTCTGAAGATTCTATGGTTGCCGGCATTAAGTCATACCTGACATTCACCTAGTCCTCACCAAATCCTAACAGCAGATAAATCTAACCTCATGTGACAAAGAACACACACGTTTTACTTTGTCATTAGTTATTAAAAAAAAATCAGTAAACATTCAGAAGTTTTGTGTGAAAAAGCTTGTCAGATACCATCCGTGGCTTAAGAAATTGTCCTACGTGGACAGAAGCAACTGAAGCTTTTTAACTTAAGCAGAGAATATTGTGAGAGGACTTGATACAAGTACTCAAAACCCTGAAATACATTGAACAAACTCCCCAGCCATATAGTTATTATAGATATATGGGTACCTTGGATTCTTTCTAGAAATAGCAGGAGAGAGTCTTGGATCAATTATTTAATGAACTACCATATGGGATTGATTAGGCTGGAAGACCTTCTTTAATTTGAACTGTCTTAATGTGATGTTCCACTGAAGCATGCCAGAGCGAGGAAGTACAGTTAAAAGGATTTCTAATCCTTATCAGTGTGTAGAACAGGAAATTCTACCTGCAGCTCTGCCTGGTGAGGTCAACAAGGGCAAAAAAAAAAAGAGGAAGTAGGGAGTGGTAGTTCAGTGCACAGGAGTGTTGGCTTGGACAGAAGTCCTGTCAAATCCCATGTCCACCTTAACATCACTTTTATGCCAACATCAATGATACAGATGTGAATGCCTGATTACATCTTATCACATTGAGCAGACTACATTTTATTGGCATCCTCTAGTTTTTCCATTGTTCAATAATCACTAGAAAGAACAGTTGCAAATAATTCAGCTTATTTTTTTCTGCAGCTGACTGATCCAAGGACTTACTCCATTTATTAAAAGAACACGCGGTATCAGCCGCAATTTGGCCAGCTTGTTCCAGACTCCCACAACCCTTTGTGTAAAGAAGTGACTCCTGTTTGCAATTCAAACACATATCCCTGTAGTTTCTACTCTTGCCCTCGGGTTCATGGTTTCTGTTCATTCTAATCTTGATTAATGCCAGGATGACTCATACATAGTTCGAACTCACGATAAGCTCTTAATAACCACGTGAACTTGATCTCATCATCTGTTAAAGGAGTCATCTCACATCATTGGAAACCTAAATCATGAAAAGAAATGTATAATGTTCTCTACTGCATCCTCTGCATGGAAATGAAGAGGTGAAAGCTTGCACAAAACCCACATCTTGTTAAAAAGCCCACAGGTTAATAACGGCTCTCACAAGGCTGCAGAAGTAGGTATCATGTAACAGAAGACTTAAGGCTAAGGCGTTTCAGGTTCTGTCAAGGAACAATAATAGTCTTTTGGTAGCCTTATCAGCCTCACGTTCCCAAATACCTGTGAAAACCGATGCTTCGGAATGTGACGATGAAAGCAGAAGAGTGAGAAAATTCTGGCGGCTCTCGGAAATATAATACGCCATTGTTAAACTCCTCCATGACTGAGGGCAATAATCACGCTCAGCCACCCCCATCACCCCTCTGTCTCAGAGGTTTGTTCTGATGGAAAGCAGCTACATTACGGCAGTCTTGCCTAATGCAGGGGTTTGCTCTGTATTGCCATGTTGCTCCTCCTTCTCCAACTATTGCATTGATCTTCTGTGTACCATTCTCCATCCTGCCCACGAGAGATGCAGGTGGATTTAGAAAGGAAGGCACAAAAGGCAGGTTTTGAAAATAAAGCTTCAGTGAGCATGTGGGAGGGACCAGTGGGGATTCAGATCGGGCTTGTTTAACAGTTTGAAGCCCATTACGCACCAAAGACAGCAAAACCTTTTATCCATTTCCCTTCTGTTTTTCTGCATTCATCTTAAATATTTTTGACCTAATGGTCTATGAGATATACAAATGTGTCTCAACAGAAATAGAACAGCACATAAAAAGAAAAAGAGAGAATAAAACTATTCTCTTAATATTGTATAATATACAACATGATTAGATTAATATTGTAATTATATTGAATATATTAATATTTTATTAATAACATTACACATATTTAACACAATGCATCACTTACATTCAAGAAAATATTAAAACTGCTTACTTTTAGCTGCAGGAAACATTTGGAAAACAGGGCAAAACTGGCCTGTTGTGTGTGAAAGAACATGAACAGCAACCTGCACCACAGTGCTGAGTCTGGCCCTGTAAGTGTAAGTCCTTAAACAACAGCAAAGTCTTAGTATCTTACCTTGGCTGCTGCTGTGCCTCATCTGTCTGGCTAGTTTGTCCGACGACGTCTGTTCCGATATCTTGACGTCCAGATCCGCTTCAAGTGACAGAAAATAAAAAATTACAGTTGATGTGCATGTGTACATCAAGAACAATTATAATTCCCAGGGAGGTTCTGCTGGAAAACAATATTCCCGAATAGTCTGGGGGTACTTGCATGTCCGTTTACTACGTTCCCATGCCGAACGTGTACATTACATTAATTAATCCAGTTTCTGTTTTTACGATGCACAAGGCCTGTTTCATAAAAAAGGATAGTAAGAAACTTTATACTGTGCACGTTAGCATTGAACTATTAATACAATCTTTACTTATGGTGAAACTGTACAGGTGGAATAATTCTATTGCATTTGCATCTCTATAACAAACTGCATATGCAGTTACCCTAGAGTGCACAGAATCTCCAAGAAACTCAGTAAATATCTCCTGTCAATTGGATTTTCCTTTATGAACATCTGTGCATAGGGATGTTCAAGATAACACTCCACTACCTATTTGAAAAACCTTCCTAAAGGTTCCTAAAGAAACCCCACACAGTACATCCACACAGACCAACTGAACCGTGACCTGATACTAACCTGTCATGCAAACATATGAAAATATGCCACAGAAGTTTGATTTTAAGGTAAAAAGCTACAGTCTATTGGGGGCAGCAGAGAACTAAGGTTTGGCAATTAAAAAACAGATGAGCAGCCTGATAGTGGTACAAAAATACAGTAAACCCTCAATTTAACGGACTTAACTTTACTGGAGTCCGGATTTTGCAAATAAAATCTATGAAATGGGAATTTTGTCTGTAAAATCAGAAATGTCACTTTCCCAGCAATTGTGCCAATAATAAAAAAAAGTTAAAAATCAACACTACGTAGGTTTCAAATTCAGGAATATATATGGCACACTATAGGGGTAGGTCAGTTGCTTCAATGTGTGCTGCTTGTGTTACGCATGGCTTAGAGAGTTTTATACAGTATATTTCTGGCACATGAAATTAAGAGCTGGTTAACAGGAACAATTTTCATTGACTACGTTGATTGTAATAGTTAAAAAAAACAAGTAAAAAGATGCGGCAAGCATACAGACTGTATAGTGTATACATTTTTCCTTATATAATATTTTGGAGCTGATAAAGCATCATCTGTGATTTATTGGACATTCAGCAATGAAGGACACCCCCTCTCCCCTATTACTCCATTAAATGTTATGTGCAATAAAAAGGATGGGAGTGAGCCACGTCAGGACCTAGAGGTTACAGGTTTGTGAACCTAAGGCAACAAATAGTAATGGGGCTTTCTCGCTTGCTCCTTTATTTTGGGCAACTATTGCATGCACAGAGAGGGATTAAGACATACAGTATGTCCTCTGCTGGGCAGCACAATTTACTCAAAGGCCCGCAGCTCAAAAATAAATCTGCTAGGCCAAGGGAACCTCATTTTCCAGCAAGAGTCTGGAAACGCACATCTAATCCTCGGGAATGGGAACACTATCACGCCAAAGAAATGAGAGCCGGCCTTACTTTCCTGGCTGGTGAGAGACGTCTCGATCAAGGTGTCGTTGCCGCTGTCGGGCAGGGTGCCATCGCGACGCCCCCGGTCCTCCGCCCTGTGGCCCGGCTCTCGGCTGTGGCTGCCGGAGCTGTACGCCGAGTCGGACTTCTGCGGGGCGGCCCGCTTGCTCTTGCGGGTGCTGATCCGGATGACCCCGTGCACCAGCCGGCACTCGGCGTCCTGCTCGTCCAGGTTGTAGTCCTGGGCGATGTTGTTGATGAGCTCGGTGATCTCGCTGGTCTTGCGGAAGAAGACCGAGTCGGAGGTGCACTTGGCCAGCTGGTCGATCTGGTGCAGCTTGTAGAGCTCCAGCAGCTTCTTGGTGATGAGGGAGTCTATGTCCGTGCTGCAGTCGCTCAGGTCGTCCAGGTACTGATCAGGGTCCTCCAGGGAGTAGGAGCTGGACGGACGCAGGGTGTCCCCCTTCTGCACAGACTTGGAAGAAGGGGTTCTTTTGGGGGCGTTCACCCGTCCCTCAAGTTTCACCCGTTCGCCTTTGAACTTGATGTCGGGGTAGTTGAAGCTGTCGGACAGTGGGGGTTTACTGTGCTTGGTCTCCAGGGAGATGCCGGACGTGGGATTGGACAAAGCCAAGCCATTCGGCCGCTTTGGCTCCTGGGAGCTCTTGACGTCCTCGGTGGAGGTCTCGTTCCTGTCCAAGCAGGGGATGTAGACGCTGGGCTCCGTCTTGTAGAAGCCGCAGGAGAAGATGCAGCAGATCAGGGCCCTGCAGCTGCTCCAGCCGAGCGAGGAGCAGGAGCCGCAGGTCTGGGTGCTGGGAGGATTGTCCGCGGAGCCTGGGATGAAACCGATGGTTTCCGACTCCCTCCCGTTGGCATCTCTGGGGTGAGCTTTCCTGGTCTGCTGAGGAGGGGGCCTCCTGGTCTCTTTCACTTCTGGGGAACCTTCTCTGTAGGAACACTCCCTGTAGGGCTCCTTGTTGCTGCTGCAGCTGTCTCTGGAGACAGATCTCCCATGGCGGTAGCTATCAGCCACCTGTCTGGTCCTGTCCTGCGCTTGGTAGTGGGGTTTTTGAGGGCTCCCTGCACTGCTGCCAGGCATGGCTCACCAATTCCCAGGCCTGAAAGCGAAGAGAGACAACACATGAGAGAGAGCACAACACTTAACAGGCCAAAAGCCAAAGACTCACATCTGAGGTCAGGGGTTCGGAAAAGTCCCTTTCAGATAAGAATAAGATCAGATCAATTTATTGGCCATATACAATTTCTTGCATTAGGAATTTGTCTTTTCACATACCCCAACATGCTCTCCATGAGACACACAGACAGGGAGAGAAGCTTGGGGTCAGAGCACAATGTCAGCCATTTATACGGCTCCCCTGGAGCAGTTGGGGTGAAGGGCCTTGCTCAGAGGCCCAACGGAGTAGGATTCCTCTGCCGGCCGCGGGATAAGAACCGGCAACCTCCCAGCCACAGGCGCAGATCCTGAGTCACAGAGCCACCACACCGCCCCTAGACCCTTCCACCCATGATCAAAGCCAATCAGGAAGCTTTCTTTCCGGCAAAAGTTTCAATCCATGTTCACTAATATTAATTAATTGAGCAACAAAATACAGACTTCTAACTAGAAAAGCCAATGGAGAGAGCCAAGATCTGGAGTGACAGTGTATTAGTCTCTCAAACACATTGCCAAGAGCTGCCATCCAACTAAACCCGTAGTGTGTAACATTTCTGCACTGTGCCTTCACTTTATTTGAGCTTTTTCACAAAAAAAGCGTAAACAAGTCTCGATAGTAAAGAGTGGATAAGGGCTTAGTCCCAGGAGTATCTTCATTCTGCCTGTAGTTCTCTGCCTTTTTATTTCATTGGAGCACAGCATACAGTATCTTTCACTTTTCATCCTTTCCCTGCATTTACACCATGAACATGCCTCAGTGTTCCTGGGTGTCCTGCAGTAACAGCTGTCCAGACCGTTCAAAGCCGATCGCCAGGAGGGGTGCAGTTCAAACAAACTGGCATCACACCGTCCTTCAGGACATCCATTCTGCAACACTTCCAATCCTCACTTTCCCTCTATTCAGGTTCATTAATGGAGACAGAACTTTCTGCTTTGGCTGGAATGCCAAAAAGTCTGAATGCCTACCACAACCAGGTAGCAAAAGAAACCCACAAACACTAAACTGGGACCAATTCTAAGAACCACCAAGCAATAAACAAACAACAGGAAAACAAGCATGGGCACACACCACAACTACAGTGTTGGCCTCGATGTCCCCGTGAATTACAGTGGAACAGATGAGCTGATTTGATACCTCACCAGCACCACAGCCATCTGCCCGGTGGGACAGGTAAACTTTTATCTGTAGGTCTGAGTGTCTGGTCAGGTTTACCAGGGCAAAATAACAGCTTCTAGCAAGAGACTGCTGGTCTCCACTCACCCACAAAAAGCCTCACTAAGAATCTGTGGCTAACCACAATGCAGCTCTGGAAATCGGACTGCAGAGAGTTTTAACATCCAATCTTATCTAGTACACTATTCTTTGTTTTTCCCCTCCATTTTCAAAATGCCAAACGTTTAGCACACAGCATGGCGTTACAGGGGCATGAGAGCCTTTTAGAAACAATGCTAACTTCCAAAGGGCGAATCACAGGAACTAATCTTACTCCTACTGTCTCTTCCAATGTAAAATTTTGGGTGGATTCAATTAGAACATTGGTACACAATTTATAATTTGTAAAAGTCTGAATGTGTGTGGCTCAGGTAGCTTCAGTCACCACTGAATTCACAATAAACTGTTAAACCACAGGCAGCCTAAATGCATTCAACCATCTCTTTATGGGTAAATGACATTGAAGGAGTCTGTAGAATTTGAAACACGGGGCAGTTTGCTTTGGGTGATCCTCAGCACACAGGGTGAAATGGAGCCTCAGGCTGCCCTCCGCTGAGCTAGACGGGGAATATTTTCCAAAATATATTTACTTAAAGTGATAGCCATGTTCCAAACGAATCCCAAACGGTCTTTACTACCGGAGAAATAGGCTTCCATTGTCCGTTAATCCCATAATGTTGCACGGCAGGCTGCCGACTAGACCAGCCCCGTCACAGTTGGCTCTGCCTCTTTGTTCTCGTTTCTCGACTGGGGCACCTCCTGCGTGCAGTTTGCATGGAATTTCTCCAGGTGTTCCGGTTTTCTCCCAAATTCCAAAGACACGGAGGCGAGGTTAATTAGAGTCTCTAAGGTGTCAATACTGAGTGAGCTTGCACATGTCTCCTAGAAACCTCCCATCTTTAAAACTAAAACTCCTCCTTGTACCTCACACTTCTGGGCTCGTCTCCCGGTTGCTGTAACCTTTATTAAGAATAAGCAGCCTTCTGACATTGGACAGATGGATTACTCCAATAAAACTAATTTTGGGTTTTAAAAATTATATTTAGAACCATTTTCTTGGGGGAATGGGGTCTCCTTCACACACATTTAATAAAAGTTGACAAAAAGCACATGCAAACAGTACCCCATTAGAGGAGAAATAACGACATTTGAATTCATGATGCTGAGTCATCCTCATGTACACACATGCAATGGAAATAATTAGCATATCAGCTACACACATCTAATGAACATGCACATAACTCTGGTCATACAAGAATGCGCTGCAAAACAAATGTGCAACTGAGGGCAATGAGGCTTGAAATGAGTAAGCTGAAATGATGCTGTGCACAGGCATCATGGAGCACTGTATAAAGAACAGGGAAGAAGTTGTGAATGTCCGTTGAGATGTGCAGGAGAGGCAACCAGACATCACAAAATGCTCCACAGGCTGAATGTTCACAAAAAGAAGCCAGATTGTTAAAGAGGGAGATATGCTGAATCAGATGTGTTGCCACATGCTATTGGTATGTGAAAGGGATGAACCAAAGTGCTTTCAGCTACTGCCTAAAGGAAATCAATGCAATCTGACCTAGGTGAGGCCAAAGGCCACAAGATCATACAACCTTTTCTCTCCTGATATGTTGTATAAGCAACATTAGAAAGACAAGGGAGCTCTATTTGTAAGTGACACAAAGACCACACTTCTAGATCAACTGCAGAGTTAGTTATGGTCATGGACAAGAGGTCAGAACCCAGGTCACCCCTGATGAGGTGTTTTGTGAACAGGATGTCCCCCATGCCTAATGTTTATATTGTAACCATTTCTCCTAAAGACAGGTTCCATTCTTCAAAGGCAAAAGCATGCTAGGAGGAAAATCTCAGCAAAATCAAAGGGAGAGAAATTAAGTCTTTTTTTCCTGATCTATTTCACATGGAATGACCCTTAGGATAAAAAAAACAAAACAAATGAATAATAAGATACTGTACAAAGGTCTATAATGTATGAGCTGACATTTAACTGTACATTTTGCCGATTGTCCTTTTACACACTTCCACTGACAATCATCACCTATCCCATAAGCCCCACTTTCACCCCTCTCCCGTACTCAAAATTATTTTATTCTGTCCACCACCCCCCCAACACCAAGTCTCCCTCCCTCGTGACCCCGCACATCTGAAAGTTTCTCTACAGTCTTTTCTTTTTGACTTGGGAGCCGTGAAATGACCTGCGCTTCATGGACGTTACTGACTAAAGTCCGGGAGGGATAACAACATCATGTCAGTCTCACACAGCTGCCCCCAACCGCCATCATTACAAATGAGCTCTGTATAACGAACACAAACTCCTCACTTCTCATCCCTCCACCACATCTCCACCTTGCAGCTTCCCCTGGGTTCACTCCTCTCTGACTGGGGTTTGTGCCTGCGCGTCCTGTGTCCTTGCCCTGTGGCCTTGTGGCTGCCCATTAACCAAGCAAGTGAAGACAAACTTATCTGCTGTTGTCCCTAGTAAATTCGTAACTCGTCCGCCAGTTATCCTTCGAAGCCCCTCGTATCTCGACAGACGCATGCAGTGATTTGGACCCTTGTGGCAGTCTTGCACAAAGTCTGTGTGTGGTGCAGGCTACACAGCAACACCCCGCCTGGCTCTGAAGAACAACCTGCATGATTATACACTGGCTTGCACCCTGTGCAGAAAGAAGTGAGCGAGAAAATAAATCCACCTGAAAACAGACCAAAATCATTCATTGCTGTTTTCAGGATGTGCTAATTAATCCCACCCAAATGCTGTCCCCAGGATGCGTTGTCGTGGACTTCCATTAACCCTGGTCATTGCAGCAGCATGAGAGTACAGAAGAGTAGAAAGTTCTGCAGCGGTTATCGACCCCATGGTGCAGACGGAAAGCATGATCTGTGCAAGGAACTCTTTCCAGGACGACATTCCAATACAATTCAATAAGCGTCACACGCCGATCTAGAGTCAGTACTACAACGCTGCAAGCACAGCCACAGGTTTTCAGTTTTCCTTCCCTTCGTTCCAAAGGCTGATTTAGCTCTTGATCTTCAAACACATTAAGGCTATGTGTTAATTCAACTCAGAAATGAACAAAAATGAAGTGTCTGTTTCCTAAATTACAGTACTTTCTTACCATATGCATAGCCTGATTCCAGAAACTTGCAATCGCATTTGAACAGCTTTGTTGGAACGACCAATGAATTGCAGTGTTGCCAAAGCAATAACGATTGGCAAGCCATTTAGAACACCAAATACTCGAGAGGCTCACTTTCTGTTCCTCAGGCTGGGACAGGCGATTGCATTCTGGGATGCCAGCCCCACTGATCGTACTCCCCCCAGTATATGCTGAAAGTTGTTCTGGTCGTGACAGGTGTGGGAATTCTGGGACTTGATTTGTTATTCTAGGGAAGGTTGGTTTGAAACTGGAGTTATTTCATGGCAGGCAGCACGAAATGCACCCCTGCAGTTTTTATCCCACATGGATACGGGCATCATTAGTGTGCAGCATATTCAAAGATGCCCAGGAGTTCCTCAGAAACTGCTGAAGAATGACACCCATGAGCAACCGTGGACTGACCCGAATTAAAAGCGTGAAAACACTCCTCAGCAAATCCACCGAAGCTTTCATCGAATTTAACAAACCCCTGTCCCTACAATTACAGCAACAAAGAGAAGTAGACTAAAAGTATTTTCAGGAACAGCTTTCAATTGCTCGCGTCGATTGGGTAACTTAAAAATAACCCATTTATTCGCAACGCAACAACATGCAGGTCCAAAGAAAGCGCAGGCATAATGGGCCTCTTCTATTTCCTCGTATGTCACAATCGGCAGCTTCAGATTTAATCTGTTGTTAAACGCGTCTAATGATATCACGGTCCTATCTAATCGAACAATGAACCGCATCTGGAACGTAAAGGCAAATCGGACGTAACAAATCGACCTCAGAACACTGCCCATATATACTGCTCGCAGCTACCAGATAGTAGAGTATACCGTACTGTACTAATTTAAATATAGAGGGGGTGGGGGTCTCGGTGTGTATTTGTATACAAGTACTTGTTAATGTGCACATATTTAAAAGGTTTTCCTTTTCAACCCTGTAATCAGTGTACAATTTTTTGACCGAGAGCAAGAAACACCTACGAGGCCCAAGGCGCGCCATGGACGAATGCAGCAAACAATTCGGCAAAACTAATCCGCACGTATTTACCAACATACCCAGCCATTATTGATTGTGTGATGAAGTATACCACCTTGTTTGCGGAAAGCGTTTCAGCTTTGAATTTACTGTTTCCATACTGTGTAAACGGGGCCTGTGATGGTTACTGTTAGTGTACTGCGCTGCAAAAAACCTTTCGAAACAAATGTACGATTCAGAAAAGTATAGTTGCTCTGCGGCCCGGTATATATAATATTGTTGTTGTTGTTGTTGTTGTTGTTTTTTGCAAAGCTGCTTTGTATAGGTAGAGCAGGTTTTTTTTTCCCAGGTCGTGAAACATCCCAAACGCAGGGAATAGAGGTAACAGATGTTTGTTTGTTTTTTGACGAATGCTCACGATGAATCTCATCCAGCTATATGTAATGAAATGCGCGGTCTCTCAGCAGAATACAGAGAAAAGTGCAAAAATGAATTTGTACAGATTCATTTTTGACTCCGACTTACCACATAGGAGGTAATCTTCTGCTTTCTGTTCTTTTTTTTTTAATTCCGGAAGTCAAGCGGTATTCTTCCTTTGCTCGTATTTTGTGCAACTTGTTTAACTTGCGATTCCCTGTACTTTCCCCTCAGATAAAGCTGAGGGGAGACGAGGAGTCACCACTTTCGACGCCAGACGACTGATTCGGTCCAGTACGGCTGTAGCAGCCCAGTTTAATCCCAGTTCCTACAGACAATCAGCCGGCGCTCGGCTGCCTTGTCGTCCTGTGCGTTACCTACAGATACAGGTAAGCCCCGCACCCACCCACAGGTGAGCGGTGACGTCACATCCACAATTTCTCTCCGCAGCGTCAAATCAAACGCACGGGTAACATCCCGATCAGTGACTTAATGGCGACGTATAGAGACCAGCAGTTTGTGCACTATTCAATGTCTGCGACGGTGAAATATCTCAGAGCTGAAGTCCATCCACATACTGTATGCGTGGTCATCAACAAGAAAAACAGGAATAATATTAATAAACGGAGATTCAATAAAGATTTAGCTCCCTCTTTTAATTCATATACGCATACATATACGCAGCAACACTTCATATAATTATAAAATGCTTTGTTTTATATGCTCATACACACCGTAGAAACTTCCGCAGATAATTAAAACACGTGTTCTGTTCGATAGCTACGATATGATATGATTGGGAATAACAGTATAATAACAGTGCCACCAGTTTGATGTGGTGAAGTGGTATCGTGTCACCCCTTCCTTACAGGCTTTCCAATACAGTGCACAGAGAAGTCCACACGGTATTTTGCTCACGACTCCTGAAAAGGGGATTTTGTTACATCTCGGTCTTAACGCTAGAGGTCCCCAGCACTATCTGGCAGTATCAGCCCGGAACAGACTACGAGTTACCCCCTTCCTTCACATTTTAAATTTGATTTTCCGTGGGATGGAGCAAACAAGGCTCAGCCTTCAGGTGAGTCGACATTCTAGCCCGACTCAAAAGGCGAGGTCAAACTGCAGTACTGTTTTGGCGGTAGTACTGTGGTAGTACAGTGGTGGGGGTGAATACATTTTAGAAGAGGGACTAGTAGTCTCCGGTGATGCGAGGAGGACAAAGTACTCGTTTTTTTAAAAAGAAAAACGTCATGAAAGCAGTATAACATTTACCACAGAAAAATGGTGTATAAACAGTGTTAACTACTCATTGTATTTAATAATTAAACCTGAATAAGGCTCCACGGCCGAAACGTTGTGTTTTCTTCCTTCTTTTTTTCAGCAGGGAATAAACCTATTACCTGTTCCTTTAATAATTATTACGAGTCACCAGTGTAGATTAATTATATGATATTAAATGCAATTTTCCAAATGTCGGACCAAATAGACTTAATGACTGATTTCTATGCACTGGGAGAACAATGAAAGGGAATATTTTGTCTGAAACAGGATACACGGTCATTATGGCCACACCTCTTAACAAAAGCATTCCGCAAAAAAAAAAGGAGAGGCGGGTGTGTATGTCCCGCAGTATGAATGTGCGTGTTGGAGTCGGAGGCGCGATTAAACTGCTTCCATTTCATAAATGGGATGAATTACGGGTTCAGAAAGATGGCCTTAAAATACTCGGCTTCAACTCTGGCAATTAATCAGACTGCCTGAAAAACGACGATATGTAGAGAAATTCGTGTGGCAGAGAATTCCCCTAGCAGATGGGTGTGAAGGTGAAAGGCGGACGGAATCTTCCCCATCTGCGCTCTGGAATTAACAGCGAAGAACGCCGTTAATCTCGCGGCAGACTCGAGGGACCGATTAAGGCAATTTCTCAGTTGTTCTGTCACTCAGAGAAACATTAACCTTTCTCCACAGATACGCCGCACAAGTAAATATGACTTTACAATACAACACCGTCCCCCGTTCGCTGGGTTCTGTGACAACGGAAACGATGTTATTTTCAACGGCGCCGCAGCCCGGAGTCTCGGAATCGACGGGTTTAATTGACAAAATAAACGGGAGTTTTTGGACCAACGCTTTCCTAACCGGCGACAACAAAACAATTACTAGTGATAAAAACAGTAATGCATATCGAAAGTCTGATCTGATCTGAACAGGGAACATTGTGATGCTCTTGTTCACGTAGAGACATCTCGTTTTCCCAGTAATGTAAAATGAAGCATGCCTATAGGGGACAGCAGGGAGCCACCCAACTCAACTTCGTAACCCCCACTATCGGGCCACGCGGAGTCGCAACACAGTTTGGAGCATCTTTGAGCAGTTTGGATATGAAGTAAACAGATGTAAAGTCGATTACTGTAGTATCCCCCCAGCTCACCAGCTCTGAGTAAAAAATCAGTGTTGTGCACACAGAAGGTATTTTAAAATACATATAGCTGACACAAATTTGAGTATCGCTCAGAGTTTACGTATGCCTGTAAATGGCATACATAAACCAAGAAACTCTTTCCCTAAAGATAGTTTTTTTTTTCCGTGAAGCTTGGTGTTATTTTTTTCTTTCCTGGTGTAGAAACTTTTTAAACGGGGGTGTGTACTTGTCTAATACCGAAAAACGTAGCAAAACCTGATGGTTTTACACGCCGGATTGATTGTGCTAGTGGAAATCTTTGACGAGATACGAAAAACACAGTGACGGTAGGCTGCTCTGGTGATGTCCGAGTTCCAATAAACTCATTTTGGTTCAGAAGCTTTTTTAGATGGCATAATCAGCACAAGCAATTGCGGTGTATTAATTTTATTTTACACACGAGTCCCCGAGATAATTAGGGGCGCGCACACACACAGAGCCCAGCGATTGGGCATCTGTTAGACCGCAAAGACGCTGGATGATAAACGATTATTGTAATTTCCTGATCCTACTCCTCCTGCAGAAAGCCACACTCCCCCGTGTGACTGATGTTAATGAACTTTTTTTGTGTGTAATTCCATTACACGCTGTATTAGGGCTTTAATGGCTGATGTGGGACTCTGTGGCAATTGGATTAATCCAAGGTTAGGAGCTTGTAATTTAACAAGATCTCTACGAAGGTGGAGGAGAATGAGATAATTGCTCAGTTTTGTTCCAGGATTACATTTATTGAGGTGAACCGTTGCACCACTGGAATATTAATTTACAATAGGATGAATTCACTCACATACAGCAGTACAGAATATGAAACCCAGCTCCACGAAGGAGCTTAATTGTATATGACCCATGCACAAAAAAATGTCTGGACAAGACTATAAAAAAGTTCGTTTCACCTCCGTGCATTTAAAACACTTACTATATATAGGAAAAGGGAGATGTACACTTTGATTAACTTTTGAAAGAATGGCTCTATTCCTGCCCCCTCCCAGTTTGCGCTAGTCAGGCTGGCTAGGCCAACAGAACCATTCTCCAGAGCCCAGTTATTTAAGATCGATCTGCAGCAGCCAGAGATACAGCACTTGGGATTTCTTAAATGTGAGGTATTTTTAGACCAAACTGCCCATGTGCAGGCTTTGTTCAGCCTGTCAGGGGTCAGTCTCCTCCGTTTGTTCCTGTACGGTTCCAACAGTAATCCTTGGGCTGTTGTTTTAAAGGGACCCCTGCACTTTCCCACAACACACTCAATGTTTGTTTAATGGTAAAAATCTTTCGGTTCTGTTTTTATTTTTTCTGTGTTTTGCGGCTCCTCCAGATCGAGAGGAGCCAGTTGAGGGAAACCCAGTACATTGGGGATGTCTGGGCTAATGTCCCAGCCTCCACTTGTGTCCTTACCTGTTTTGAAACAAAGGAAAATCAACACAACACACTTTTAGTCACTCTAAAAGTGACTAAAGAAGAAATCTGGAGAGTGGGGTGCATGGATAATTTGAAATACACACATCTTGTGTTATACTCTATAGGATAATAGACATTTGTGCTATAGGGCTGATGCACACAAAGACAGTGCTCAGCTGGCATGAAGCAATGAGCATTTTCTGCCATCTTTCTGCACAGATTCCTAGATATGGCTCAATACTAACTCAGCCTTTAATGTTCTCCTTTGTTAGGTACAACAAAATCAGCATCAGATTTTCCTTGCAGGATGTTTTGGCCTTACCTGGATAACCTGGCCAGTCGTTGCCTGTGAAAACCCAGTTTTTCTGGGCAGATAATTATATGCAACTCTATAGATTACTCAATATTCTTCCAAAAAAGAATGTTGTTTCCTGTGAAAGTAAATTCTGTAGTAAAATTGCTGAAAGTTAGTAAACCCCAAACGTGGTTCTAATCTTTTTGATGCAGTGTTATTTTAGCATATTGGAGGTATGCCAGATGTGAAGAACATTTCAAACAATTTTAATGTCTGCAAATGCATTTCAGCATACACAGACACATTCATTACTCCTTTCTGGTTTCCTGTGAGCTCTGAAACTGGGATTGAGCTTCTCTTCCCACTGCAATCCAAGCCTGACAGTCCCACAGTTCCATGACCTTACTTGCTCAGCAGGAGTTGAAGACTCTATTGCATGTGGATTTCACTTTCAGCATTGGGACGTCTCTGAGCTGATGGAAATCGAGGGGACAATGGTTCTGGCTGCAGGGGCCAAGGAAACTAATCCCTCTTAATGAACTAGTCCGATTAGAGAACAGCACGGCGCTATAGTTACTGTATTTGAGTTATCTAGGACTTCCCCCTCCTGGAATGTGCAGAGAAAGAGAGGCAGGACTGCACTCATGAACACAAAGGATCAAAACCTGTTTGTTAAGCTGCTATTCAGCAACAATTTAAGTCCTGTGAAAGTTAATCCTGTGTTAGACTCTCATGTGCAATGGCGTGGAATCTCATTTCCAACATAAAGTAAATAAATGGCATTTTCTTTTATTAGCATAATATTTACTTTCATTGAAAGATCAATCTGTCTTCCGAACAATGCCTGTGCCTTTACTTCTCGAAGAGTATCGTTCTGATGAGTGCAACTCTTCTGATCATGCCTAAAAAGTGAATATCAGTCCTTTAGATACTGATATATTTTGTAGACACTTCACAGCCATATATATATTTTACCAGGGCCAACACTACCAGGTTTCCCTTAAAGAAAGACAAGTCTATAGTTTTCGACAACACTGCATGCATCCTAATGCATGAAGGGCAGTGTAGAGTTGTGGTGAGGACTCCTGACTGGAGGTGGAGTCCCAGGTGAGGTTACAGCTGCTGCTCCTATTAAAGAGATGCTTTACCCACATTTCTACGCCTAAATAAACTTTTTAAATTGCTGGGGATCAAAAGGGTCGGGCCAATAAACAAATCAGTTCTGGGTGTAACTTACACGGTATCATCAAGGATGCCAGTTGGTCGCTGGGCAATAGGAATTCTGTAAACAAGCCCCTTGTATCCCTCAATATCAGCATGTAGCGCTTTTCCCATTCAGAGGAGAACACTTGTTTACCAGCTCAATTGTTGTCACGGATCATATTTCCATAGAAACGCCAAAGCCGGAGGGCTGGGATACAAAGAAAAGAAGGGAGGCAGGGAAAGTGTCTCACTGAGAGGCTGGCCCGCAGCCTGGATACTGCTGCCCCCCCCAACACACACACTCACTCTCCACTCTCCTCTCTCCCCCCACTTCAGGTGTCTATTGTGCATGTAATTAAAATCATCCTTAACCGGAACAATGGGACAGGAGACGGACACAGGAGCGCTGTGGGAAGAGCTCTGGAGCAGCCGAAGACGGAGCACGCCGTTAAGCCCCAGGTAACGGCTGTGGCTGGCTGCACACGAGAGCTCTGCCTCGGCGGACCACACGGCCACCCCGAGGTCCTCAAATGCAATGAAAAGCCTTTTAGGACTGGCCTGGAAGAATACCCACCGCCTGCTTCTAAACAGCGTCTTACTTATTCATCCAGCAAGGAACCAACCCCAAACCGCCCAAGTATTCCGGTGCCATCTGAGAAATGATTTCCACAATTCACAGTTCACCAAGGTTAGCTTCTGCACCGAAAGACACTGAATTCCGTGCGACTCGTTTTTATGCCAATAAAATATTGAACTAAAAGGCTTAGGCTTCCCGTTCTCTACCAAGAAAACAATTTCCAGCCCAGGGTGGGAAGGTTTTGTACAAAATACCAGTCTTCGGCTGTATTTTGTTAAAAGTTCAACTTATAACTTATAAATTTACAAATCCTAATTTTTAAAATTAATCATAAACGTTTTCATTTGCCTTTCCCTGTTAACACTGATATTGAATCTTCACTGATTACGGACTGCCATACTCATATTTATACATACATATTTATTTGCATAGGTTTATTTAGAACCCTCTGCTGTAGTGCCATCATGAATCACAATCTAATCTGGGGTTCCTGAATCACAGAAACTCCTTCTTTATGACATCCCAGGCTTGTTCCTCCATCCAACCTCAGCACAGCCCCAGGTAAATACATACCAGGCCACTTCACCCCTTCCTGCAACATGTCATTTCCAGGAAGTACGTCATTTCCTGTTTCAGTCACAAGTAGGTGCATTCTAGGAAAACAAAATTCCTCCTTGTTTCTACATGGGTGTGAAATTCCAATATTTTCAGTCAATAGTAAAAACACCAGAGGCTGTAGGTTTTGCAGCACATTGTGGATTCTCCAACAGCCAAGTCCCAATACTCTGCTCCACAATATTCTGCGTTTTTCCTTACCTGTGCTTTATGTTTTGCAGGCAGAGAATTAAGAGCAATGAAAATCAAAATGTTAAAATGTTGTGCTGTTACCCATGTTTCGGCACACAAGCCCACCTTCTTGAATCTTAATCTCTTACAGCCCAGCATGATTTTAGTTTTCCTACTGATTACTGCAGGTCACTGTCACAAAATAATTAAGCCTACATGTCTTTCTTAAAAGACAAATCTGTACACAAAGTTCCCAAGCAAAGGCCTTATACTCAACACAGCTATTTATCTTCCTTTAATGCCTGTTAAGCTCTTGGCCTGTCTTAAGTATTTGGCTGTTCCAGCCTGGCTCTTGACAGGAGTCTCTGCAATTGTGATTCAATTACATTTCGTAAGCTGGCAACAGCAGTGCTACGTTTAATCAATGTAGTTCTTTTAGTCTTCCTAGATGAGCTGGAGCTAAAATACTGAACATAAAGCAACGACACCCTAAATAACAGATAGAATAAGGAGAACAAAGGTATTACCTGTATGCACGACCCCAATGATGTATGCATATCCCTTATATAAGTTTGAAATAGTAAATTAGTAGAATAAACATTGCATTCTACCATGTTTCTACTGCACTCTTCATTTACTTTGCTTTGCAGTGGTTCCTCTAGTTACCTATCTGCCCAATACTTTTTCCATACATTTTGCTGTCCTTTTACCACAGTAAATGTTCATAAAAGACGCAGTGACTCAAAGAAAAACAGAGCCACTCTTCTTAGTACAGGTGATAAAACTCTCTTTCTTTAATGGACTGTGAAATGAAGAATGATTTTGCAGTTTTTTGGGGAAAGTGGAAACAGTGAGAGTTCAGCAGGGCACACAAAGCAAGATAAGAAGAAATAAAGGAAGTGTCTCCTCGCACTGTTCACTGTACACAGCCCCCAAGGCATGATGGGAGACCTCAGAATGCACTGCTGCCAGAGCACTAGCTGTACACAGGAATCGGCAGCAAAGTGCTGTGTTCGTGCATCCATGATCACAAACCTGCATATGGTAAGAGTCACAGCCACACAGAACCTATCCCTGAAGCACAGGACACAAGGAATGGCTACAACCCATACAGCCCATACAATTAACCAGTGCTTTACTGATCACACAGACAAACAAAATTCAGAGACATTGATGCCCGTAGCCTGGATGTCTTTGTAAGGAGGAGTAAGCTGAAATCCTCACAGGGAAACACATGTTCATGTTCCACACAGGTGCTCCAGTTAAGTATCAGTCAGTATCCAAGATGTATGAGGCAGCAGTGATGACCACCATGCTATTGGGCAGGACTGTGTTCATCAACTAATCACACAGAAAAGAAAGTTGTAAATTATTGTGCAAAGATGAAAAAAAATGCCTCCCCTTTGGTTTCATATTCATTACCGTAACTTACCACTTACTGATTCACATGATTAAATTTTTTTTTTCTTTAGCTTTATTAAAGATGGTGAAGATAAAATACAGGAGTTTGAGAAAGGCCCTGAATCTGTTTCTCCTCTGTGTGGCATTTGTGCCAAAACCCCAGAGTCCAGCTGCTGTCTCAGGCTTGTTTCCAAGCCATACAACACAAGTGAATGACAAACTCCATAGCCAGTGGCAAATTTCACAAATTGCCTCTAATTATATTTCCCCTTAATTAAGTGCACTGAACAAACCACCTGCACACACTGATATCAAATACACTAGGGAAAACAAAGGAAAATGTTTCCATCTTTGATAACTACGATTCTTCAGGATGTTATGCAGGATTCTTGATACTTGGGAAATGCTTGGGAAAACCCAGACCAAACTGACTGAGGAAGACTGGGAAACTGACAGACATCAGACATGGTCTGAAATCCACATTCAAAACATTTAAAAACAAAATAATTCATGACGTGCTTCACATGAATCATGTGCCAGGGCATACTGTCGGTGTTCTTTTTGCCATGTGAACAGTGATCCCGTCTACCTTTATAATGGTTTACTGTGGAGCAGCAGAATAATGCAGTGTTTAGCTTGAAAGTGCGATAACAGCACAGAAAAGCTCAGAGAGAGAGAGACTCGAGCCATAAAAATACCTTGGCACAGTAAAAAAGAGCCTGTGGCACAAGTGTAGTGGAACAGTGTGGTAATACCTTCAAGACAATACAGCGCCTCCAGATCTGGACAGTAGCCTGAAGATTTAAAGAAAATGGGACTCTTAATTCAAGGAAGGAATCCATCAGGCTCAGAAGAGTTAAAGACAAAATCCAGTCGCTTCAACCGCATCGTGCTACCCCAACACACATGCACCCAGACAACCCCCACACGCACACTTTTCCTGCATCCCCAACACCCTCCTCCCCCTCTATCTCCCCTTTCCCCAGAGCTCAGGCAGAGACAAATGCCTCGTGTCAATCTCCCATTGATCAATAGGGATTATTAGTCTCAACCTCCTGCAGATGAAATGCGAGAAAGATTTGCTGCCTGGTTGTGCAAATGGCTCAGGATAGCATGTGTATCTGTCACCCTGCCCCACTTTCCTCTGTCACAGTGCTTTATCAGCTGGGTCATTCATCACCGGGCCGAGTTTCTTAAAGGAGCGGGAGCCATCAATTCTAAGCAGCTCCAGCCTGCAGTCCTGGAGTACAGAACCACTGCAAGGTGGAGCTCGGAAGGTAATATAACAGCTTGCTTGTGCACAATAGAACCAAAATAAACTTCCTTCAATTGGAAGAGAAGATAAATAGATGTCTACTACCATGCGCTTGCATGATGAGTTGTACGGGAGAAAACCAGCACACAGAAAGCACCATGGAGTGATAGGAAGGGATGTGGCTTTCAATTCTGTTTTACTACCACATTCCTCCCCCCCACCCCAAAAAAGAAAGGATCTACAACCACCCCTTGGAAAAACAGGACGCTGCACCTTCAGATGTGCGGAGCTCTCTGTCTGGGGCTGGCAACAAAGACATCCACCCATGTCAGCAGAACTTCATATTGACGTGAGCGATTGGACCCAAGTCCTGTTTGATTTAACTTAAACATGCCTCTACGAATGAGAGTCTCAAAATAAACAAGCTCATTTACTGAAGCAAAATCCTTCTGCTGAGCTGGAGAAATGAGATCTTAAACGTTTTATATCTGACTGCTCACGGAGAGCAGCAGAAGCTGCTGTTGATTCCAGTGAGGAATATTTATCTCCAACAGGGATTGTTAGCACACATCCTGGGAGCCATTTGTAGAAAATGCGGAAACATGCTCCTACTCAAACCCAGAGCACACATTCAATTCCTGATCCCAGTGACGGCCTCATACAGGAAGATCAGTATATTGAAATATGTGCCTGATGTAATCTTCAGAGGAATTCAAGAAAAGTTCCCTTTTAAATGGGATTTTCTTACCTAATATTGTACTTTGCCATGTACTAGATTTTTCAATCTCCACGTTTATGCCGGCTGGAGTTTAATGACAGTATCACACCACGGGACTTTTCAACAGGACACCTCAGCAGCGGTACAACACAACGGCATGGGATTCTCTATGCCAACAAAGAAGTAAAAGCATTTTTGCTTAATGCACCACAGGAACCCGGCCATTATCCATCCTCCTGCGCGGATTCGATACTTTTGATTGGGGTGACCCACTTTCGCCATCTGGGAGAGAACAAGGTGCACAGCCCACCACAACCTGCTAGCGCTGTTCTTGTCATGCTGCCTGCTTTTTAATAAGGGAACTGAGTAACTGACCCGTAAAGCAAAACCACAAAGGGACATCAATATCAGGCTAAAGGGAGAGGAAGAGAGTGGCGATGGCAGGGGACTGGGGGTGGGGGGTGGGTAGCTAGGTGGAGTTTTCGCTCATTTATCCTGCTAGACAGGGGCTTCAAAATTAAACAAATAAGGCTCCTCTCATGATTAACGATATGGGGGTCCCCAAAGACACAATCCAAATCTGTAACTGGCCTTATTAATGACTGGCCTGAGCTCCATTAGTACAGAGCTAACCTGGATTCCTCAATCACAGGCACAATCATCCTAGACAAACGTACCGCAAATGAGTAAAGAAGGGCAATTCCTGTGTATGTGCACAGACACTAGGTCCTGTATCTCAGCTTTGGCTGCTTCAAAGAGCTAAAAAAATATGTAAATGCACAAGATTAAAATGTCCCTTTCTTCCTCCTGTCTGGTGGCCTCTTAATGTTTGGTAAAGGCCCGGGCACTGCTACTAGCTCACCAGGCTACGTTCAGTGCAAGATGGTAAAAACTCACATCTAACATGCTCAACAAATCCATATTCGGGACTTGTACTTCTGAAACTGGAGAACTGAATGGT